AATTCTTATAATCGAGCGCGGATTTTTGCCCGTGATTGAGGCAGAAAAGTGGGCAAAAGCGCCTGCCCCAAGAGTCATGCTCACCTTGCTCAGTTGTTCCACATCTCTTAACCCGGTGACATTCCATAAAGCATGCGTCTATTCTTGAAGGAATAAGTGTGATAGAATGTGTAACCCACCGCTGTAAAAGGACACGGAAGGAAGTTCTCTCCCCACCAATAAGAATAGAAATATAGAGCCAAGTAATGTGGTGACCTGGGTTTCCAAAAAAATTCTTACCGTTGTACATGAGGGCGGATATGGAGAAAATGACCTATCAAACATTATTATAGAAGCCCATATTCATTCACCTCCAAAAAGCAAAGAAATTAAGCTTTTACCAACACTAAAGAATAGACACTCGATAATATTGATAATAAACACAAGGACAATATCTCCAACCTGCCCATGATTTATCAAAGAACCCTGTTATACTAAGTCTTACTAAATTAACATTGGGAGGTGGATGTCACCTCGAGAGAACCTCCCTAGATTTGAAAGGAACCCACCACTTCGCATACCAAGAAGAGTCTCAAGGGCAACAATATATAATCACTAGCAAGGAAAACACTACCAAAACATTTTTACAGCCTTCGAACCTTAATACCAATTTATCGAGTGTGTGGTGTGGTCGCAGAGAAGTCCTGACGCCCCAACCACAATGATTAAAACCGGGACACTTAACCTTTTGGAGAACAAACCAAGAGAACAGCCCGACTTGAAGCAAATTTCCAAAGAAATACATAAAATAGTTCATATTAATATCAAAACCATGCCATACAAGCCCTACCTGTACCTACAGTAGGCAACATGAGCCCTGGGTAACTTAGATCAACAGATCCTACTCTTAGCTCGAGTCTTCAGCATATTCCAACATCTCCATGTCGGCCTCACCTCTCTTGCCTGCCATGAACATTCCGGCCTGGGTAATATGCTTGATCAATCTTGAAAGGTATAAAGAAATGAGGCTAACAATAGATTCTCAATTGTAAAAGGAAATTCATCGCCCAGACTGTACACTAATGGAAGAGATTCACAGAAACCAGTCACAATAGTAAATTAGCAGGATTAGAAGACATCACATTGCTGACAAAGGTTAGGCCAAGACCCTTTCCGGTATGGTGCCCAAGACCGAAAATGCCATACCCACCAGAGTTGGCACAATGCATCACCAGGTTGGATTTTCGCAGCCCCTTACGGCAGTATATCCATCTTTACGTGTGGGGAGACTCGATCCGAGACATATACACCTTACTAGTATGGTCCATATCTTCTGATGCGGGCATAGAGTCTCGCGCAGCACTGCGCCTGTGCGGCGCCCCGGGAGCCCTCCAATGCTGGCCTAACACGGTTACGGAATTTGTCCGTAACACTATGCTGTGCTGACAAACAGATGATGATCTGATGAACCTGATGAACTACTATCTCTTCTTTCTCCCACCTTTCCCAGACTTGGATGGTCCAACGCCAGATGTGAAGACAGGCTCCTGCTTCTTAGTCCTCCCTGGATGCCTAGGCACCAGCGCTGCAATATGGAGCATTAGCTGTTTTCCTGCAATAGAACCAGAGCATCCGTTTAAATGCACAGAGGGAAAGAAACGGTCTCTCATGTCCTTTATTTTCCAATGTTATTCAGTTAATATGGATGCAACAGAAAGCTTGACATTTTATTCGTTTCCCTTCCAATGTCTCTTCAAAGTGGAATCAGAATGTTCAATGAAACATGTGGATTGTTTGATGTAGTGTTTCTCAAATAGAAGATATAAAAGCCTGAATAGTAGAAACTAAATATACGATGACTGAATGCCAATCAACAATTATCACGCAACAAATACAAGATAGATTTGCAACTTGACACTGATTGAAACTTCCATCCACAGAAATCAAATGTACATTTTCTTTTTCACACTAATCTGAATCATCAATGAGGTTGCTGCAAAAAAGTGGCAAGCCTGCAATAGCACCCCCAATCATAAGCATGCTTTCAAAATTAGAAACTGAAGAAGAGAGTCACTAAAAATATGCACAATTGTGCTGGTTTCAATCCCTTGAAAAGGATATGGAGAAAAACCAACAAAGAGATTCTCTCAAAGCAAGAAATTAGTTTTACCCAACATAAAGATAACATCGATAATATTGATAATAAACCACAAGGACAATATCCTCAACTGCCATGCATTTATCAAAAAGAACCCCTGTTATACTAATGTTACTAATCCCTTTGAGGACAGATTCACTGCAAGAGTCTTAGGCACTTACTGCAGACAACCAATAACTACTAAATTTGTTGAAGAGATTGACACCATGACACTTAATTGACAACAAACCAACTGCATTTCAAGACCATAGTTCATTTTCAAAACTACACTCACTAGTAGGAATGGCTGGGTTGTACAAAGTCCCATCTTCCCTCTTCAGCAATACCCTCACCCTTCCTACTTGCATGAAATCCCGTGGATATGCCTTGTCAATCTGAAAAACAAAATGGCAAATCACATTAAAGATTAACATCCAAAGCCTCTTGAGTTCAAACAAAGATAATGCAGATTAAAACCTCATTGGCAAAAGGGACTTTGAGATGGCTGCAGCAATCACCAATCTCAACACAGGTTGGATTTTCGCAAGCCTTGGCAGTACTGATTCGCCTGCCTTCAGCTATGGTCTTCTTCGAGTTTATGTAAACGGAATACAAGACTGCTCATTTCTTTATATTGGGGAGATTTCCATCTATCATATCTACTGTTGAATTCCTCTACAATAATTAAATCACTTATCTTTGCAATGTAAATCTCCTAATAATAATTAAAAAAGCTTCATACAAATTCAAACAAGAAAAGATATCGAGAATCGTAAGTTTAGCTGTGATCAGAGAGCAGTAATCTACGAGGGAACAAGAGATTGTGAACAAAGAAATACCAAGCTAGAACGTTTACAATCGAGAGAGGGGATCAAACTTTAATATTTGATGTATAAACTTTAAACACTAAATATAATCGCAAACACTTAAAAAAGACTTACCGGACGAGACGATACAGTCGGAAAGCTGGAGGTTAGTCTTCACTCTTCAGCTGAGAAATGGAACGATCTCCGTTGGTGTTCAGCTGGAACCCAGGGATGGCGGCAGTGCGGGTACCCGCTACAAATCAACTACCCGAACCCGATTATCGATTTAAGTGCCCGAATCCTTTGAGGAATAAACCAACAAATACCCAATTCCACAATTCCCGGTTTAATTATAAATCCATTCGAATCCGAACCCGTTTGAAACTCAAATCTGAAACCGAAAATGCAATAGAAAATATATAAAAAATTCATATTAAAATTCAACTTGAAAATAATAAAATAATACATAATAACATTAAAATAGAAAAAAAATAAAATTCAACCTAAATAAATTATATAATTCATGTTTTTTTTAGAGCTAAATATGCTCTTAAGTCTCATCAAAGTTGCATCAAAATTGCCAAAAATATATTTTATTGTAGCTTAGAGGATCTTTGGACCAACAATATGTAGCATCTTTTTATGGTTTTAAATAATTATCTCAAATTAAAATTATTTTTATTTTATACAAAATTTAAAAAAAAAAAAAAAAGAAAAAGAAAATCATAACAAAAGTGAGACGCACCAGCCAAATTAGATAACGGACTAACTGCCGTGTGGTCATGTACCCTTCTCCAAGTGAGAAATGTACCACGTGGACTCATTTCACTTGTCCGTTCTGTGGTTTTAATTTCAACACGTCACCACCAAGCCATGTGATCAGGAATGCGGGATGCTTCTGCTGTTACTGATTTGTAGCAACTCTTTTGTCTCTATCAACTCAGAAAAAAATCCTATCAAATTGGAAAATCATTTTTGTTAAAAAGGGAAAAAAAAATGAAATTTCAAATTTCAAATATATGGAAAAAGTCCAATTGCCCCAAATAACATTACGAGTTAAACAGCATGAGCATCTAATCTCTTTGAATAATATTCAAAAAATTGGTAATAACTTTTGAATAATATTTATTAAATTGGTAATAATTTTTATAATGGAAATGACTAGAACTCGAGACCTCTCACTTTTTATATCTTTTACAAGAAATAAAAAACCAATCGAATCACATCTAATTGATGGTTTAAAATCTAAGTTAATTAAGCTAAATGATTAAAAACGTGATATAAAAGAGTTAAATGTTAAACCGTTCAAAAGTTTGTATGATATTATCTTATAGGCTTGAATTTTTTTTTTCTTTCAAACAAAAGTTAATTTTTAAATTTTAATAATGTTTGGTCTAAATAAAAAATTTCATTTTCATTAATTATCTAATTGAATACGCTAAATATTCAATAAACGGAACAAAATAAGTTACGACTTGACTCATTTCATTTGTGAATATGTGGTTTCAATTTCAAGACGTTACCATCAAGTTGTAAGAACGGAAGATACTATGTATATTGACAAAAACAAAATTGAATTTTCCAAATATTGAATTGACAACCTTATTTTTCAACTCTTAATTGTCTTAATTTTTTTATTTTCATGTATTTTGATTTGATAATAGCCAATGTTATGATATTAATGACAAGAGTATTTTCCTTCATTTTTTTATGCTAATTAAAAAAATATTTAAATGAATTGAATTATAATAAAATATTTGTTAATTAAACGAAATTATATTTATCTCACTTAATTATTTAAGAAATTTTAAAAAAATAATAATAATGAGTTTTAAAAAAATACACCATAGTTATTATATTTAGTGAGAATAAAAATAATTTTTTTAAAAATAAAAAATTAATATAGGTATATAGATTTATTCAGATAAATCATATTATTATATTAATAGATATAATTGATATGCCACTATTGGCAGTTGCCTGCCAGAAAGACATATAAAGAAACCTCTGGCCTCTCCAATTCGCCATTGTTAAATCAACCAAGCAGAGAATAAATTGCTATATATATGTATGCCACTTGGCAGTTGCACTGCCAGCAGATATAGCCTCTGCCTCTCAATTCGCCATTGTTAAATCAACCAAGCGAGCAAATAAATTGCTCCTACTCCACTAATACCATAGAGTGACGGAGAAAGAGAGAACCGCAGAAGACGAAAAAAACCAAAGAAATGGCGGAGGTGGAGAAGAAGCAAAGTAATGATGGACCGGCGATAGTGGAGGTGAATCCAAAGCCGAACAAAGGACTGACTTCAAAGCTTGTTGACTACTTGGAGAAGCTGATCGTCAAATTAATGTTTGATAAATCCCAGCCTCTCCATTATCTCAACGGTAACTTCGCTCCTGTTCCCGAAGCTCCTCCGGTTAAAGACCTTCCTGTCATAGGCCACCTTCCTGTGAGTTTATCATTCATCAATCATTGACCGTGTATACGTATGTTATATTTATTCGCTTTTATTAGTATTATTATTAGATTCTTTGGATACCTAAAAGTTTTTTTTTTTTTTTTTTTTAATTTTTGAAGGAATGCTTGAATGGGGAGTTTGTGAGGGTAGGTCCTAATCCAAAGTTTGCTCCTGTGGCTGGATATCATTGGTAAGTTCTATTTGTGTCTTTTGATTAAATGCGGATTTTTCTTGTTATTGAAAATGGAGATAAGAAAGCTAATTTCTTTCTCTTGTTGCTGTTTATGCAGGTTTGATGGAGATGGGTATGTGAAGTTTGCTACTTTGATCAGAATATCGTGCAGTTTATCTACTTTTATAATTTTAGGAAAAAGAATGTTACTATCCCACTTTGTTTTCCTGGAATAATTGTTCCAATCTTTGTTAAACACTAATTTTTATGGAACTAAGATCTCATGCGCCCTGGCTAAATGTGTAATTGGTTAACTGCTTGATTTCCTTAATCTGCAATGTACATTTGTAGTCCACATATGCCATAGCTATAGATTCTAATAAAGTGTTTAGCAGACTATTGAATTCTTGATAATTGATTGTCCGTAGATCTTTGTTTTCTCTTGTAACACAAGTGGTTTGTCCATTTTTCTGTTATTATCACTTTTTGCTGCCTTAGTTTTTGTTTTTGAATTTCGAAAGTTGGATGATTGCTTTGATTTTATTAGGACTATCTTTATTGACATGCTAAGAATGGCTTTCTATGACTTCGTGTCCTTTTTATCAAATAATTTGCAGCATGATTCATGGCCTGCGCATCAAAGATGGAAAGGCAACATATGTTCGTCGCTATGTGGAGACATCACGACTTAAGCAAGAAGAGTTTTTTGGAGGCGCCAAATTTATGAAGGTAAAATACTGACCTGCCTGAAAAAGAATTCATTATTACGTGAAAACTACATAATTTTTTGAGGGAAAAGTAGGTCTTTAGTTGATGAAAGTTAGTAATTCACCTCTGGTGTCATTTCCTTTCCATACGTGATCTCCTGTTTTAAGGAACTGATAATTTCTTTTGACATTGTTGGTTGGAACAATACACTCTGGACTCTCTTACATGGGATTATACAAATGTTTTTCTTTTCGAAGTCTCATGCTTGTCAAATTATGGATGCAGTTGGTTCTCCAACTTTACTAATATTTCTCTTTGGATAGCATGCTTGATAGTTTCAAGTTTCATCACAGTTGCGTTTTCACTCACCAATTAAAGAGCAGATAAACCTTAAGCAGCAGATTTTTTTTTTTTTTTTTTTTTTTTTTTTTTTTTTTTTTTTTTTTGAGGATAACTTTCATTTTTTGTTCTTCATTTGCAGATAGGTGATCTCAAAGGGTTCTTTGGATTATTGACAGTTTACATGCAAATGCTGAGAGCGAAATTGAAAGTGCTGGACATGTCATATGGATATGGGACGGGTAAGTTTAATGAATATGCCACTACTTCAATATGAGAATCCCATGTGAGATTATGCCCCTTTGCTGACCGTCTTTCAATCTCAGTTCGAAAAAACATATCATTTCACAGGTAATAAAATGATTTTCCTTAATTGTATTTGCTCTCTGTGAATCTAAGATGATTGCCTTCCTGCAAACATGCACCTCAAAAGCAGTTGAAACTTCGCAATATTTCACCTCTAGTTCTGTGATGAAACTTGAAACTATTTGTGCGCATGTGTAAATAACGTGTTCAAGAGACACAAGTTTTAACTAGGCGTTTCCTGCAATTTAGAGAAATTCCCTTTGTAATTTCTTGAATTTTTTATTTTATTTTATTTTTACATTTGACGGGAATAATTTTAAATTAAAGTTCTACCTGTGCATCTGTCCTAGATGCTACTGAAATTATTGAGCATTCTTAAAATATTGACAATCTTAGAAGAAACTAATTCTCTGTAGCCTTGTTCAGCTAATACAGCTCTCATTTATCACCATAGAAAGCTCCTAGCACTTTCAGAGGCAGATAAACCCTGTAAGCTTAGCCTCTCTCCGTGTTTTCACTTTCCACAATGATCAGACAGTTTCTCGGGGAACTGGATTTTTTTGTACTTCTTTCTTTCTTGTAGTGGGGGTAAAAATTATTCCCGTTGCATCCTGCAGATGTAGTTAAAGTTATGGAAGATGGAGATTTACAAACTGTTGGCTTGCTGGATTATGACAAGAGACTTAAGCACTCCTTCACTGCTCATCCAAAGGTTGATCCATTCACTGGTAATATCCACCTTCATGAATGAAACTTTGTCAACCAGTTTAATGAAGTAATATTTTTTGATGCTTAAATTCCTTCAATGCAGGAGAGATGTTTACATTTGGTTATGCTCATGAACCCCCATACGTCACTTACAGAGTTATTTCAAAGGATGGTGTCATGCATGATCCAGTACCAATAACCATATCAGACCCCATCATGATGCACGATTTTGCTATTACTGAGAATTATGCAATTTTTATGGATCTTCCTTTGTTCTTCAGGCCAAAGGTATGGATCCTGAATTCTTGCAGTTTCTAGACACAGTACAAAATACACTATGAATATATTAATGATCATTGAATTGTGCACATCAATGGAAATTCATGGTGAAAAGAAACTATTTAACGATAAAAGAATAATTATTTTATTAGTGGCAATGATTTTGTCAATCAAGTCCATTTGATTGAAGGTCTTTATTGGATAACAGGCAGTTTCGAATTTCGGGATTTGTTCAAAATATTCAATAACTTGATTTCTAATGATCAGGTTAATCTTTTATTTGTTACTTTGTTTGATGATAGTGATGTACAATGTGCAGTATGAATGATAACATTATTTCATTTTACTTTCTGTTAATTTGTTTGTCTTGAAAAGAACTGATTCACCAGTAACTAGCTTCTGCACAAAAAAAAAATAAAAATAAAAATAAAAAATAAAAAAAATCACTTCACTTGAATCTAGTTCACATTTCCATAACAAAATCCAGAAAGAAAATTTTGTTTGCCAAAATTTTCTTCAACTCATTTGCAAGAAAATTAGTTTCTTATCACTTCCCTTCATTTTTCCTAAATATTTGCTTTCATAAACGACCGAGTACACCCTTATAATGGAATTCATTTATAGTGTGAGAAGTGGAACCTCAAATCAAGGCTGGATTCTTCAGGAAGATTTTGTTGATTGAGAGGCCTAGATGGAAATTGTTTGTAGATTTTCACTTAATGATTTCAGAACAATCTTTTCAGGAAATGGTGAAAGAAAAGAAGTTGATATTCACATTTGATGCTACCAAAAAATCTCGATTTGGTGTCCTGCCACGGTATGCAAAGGATGATCGCCAAATCCGATGGTTTGAGCTTCCAAATTGCATGATATTTCACAATGGTGAGGCCACTTGCTTTCCCATGTCCTTTAATTCCAAATAAAGCCTCAAATTTCACTTACGGAAATCTCTTTATAGCATCAACCCAAGTGTCAGCGACTCATTCAACTCTTATAGAAATGTTTCTTTTCTTTTTGTGATTTTTGGAAGGTTGCTGCATTTGGCACTTCATGTGTTATTTCACTCTATATAACTATTATATGAAAATTGGTGGATACAAAGTACAAGCACCGTAATTTACTGAAGGTTGCAGTTAGGCCTTGTCTTTCTTTTGGATCCATCATAAATCAAGAAAATTATATAGACTGGTGATTTTCTTGCAGTCTGATAGTTGGCTAAGAATTGACATTTCTTGCAGCATGCAAGTCCACTGGCATCTGGAACTTGGCTATATTTTTCATTGTTATTTCATAATGGAATTCAAACACACAATAACTTACTGTTGTCTTATGACTAAGCCCATCCATCCAGATGTATCGGTTCTGACTTATTTACCAATTTCTTACTAGCCAATGCCTGGGAGGAGGGCGATGAAGTTGTTTTGATCACTTGCCGCCTTCAAAATCCAGATTTAGACATGGTTAGCGGAAATGTCAAAGAAAAACTTGAGAATTTTACAAATGAGCTGTAAGCAAATTTTGGCACTCCCACAATTTTGACAGCTTTTCATGTGTCTCTGACTATTGTTATTCTAAGCAGGTACGAGATGAGGTTCAACATGAAAACTGGTGCAGCTTCACAAAAGAAATTATCAACATCTGCTGTTGATTTTCCTAGGGTGAATGAGAGCTACACTGGGAGGTATTCATCGACACTAGGCACACAGAGCTATATATGCTTTTTTCAAGCAGAAACAGATATTCAATCTGAAATGATAGAATTCTTCAATGAGTTCATTTTATTTCTTTCTTTATGGTGTTAATTAAACTGGATCTTGTTTTTTAAATTTTTTACTCGCTGATTGTTCTCTGTCATTTCAGGAAACAAAGATATGTTTATGGAACCATTCTGGATAGCATTGCCAAGGTCACTGGAATTATCAAGTTTGATCTACATGCAGAGCCCCAGCCAGAAAAACAAAAGCTTGAAGTTGGAGGAAATGTTAAAGGCATCTTTGATTTGGGACCTGGTAGATTTGGTTCAGAGGCTATATTTGTTCCCCGGGAGCCGGGCACTAGTTCTGAGGAAGATGATGGCTACTTGATATTCTTTGTACATGATGAAAAGACTGGGTAATCTTTTCCTTTACTTAATCATCTTTCTTGTACTATCTCTAGAGTATACAAAAATTTATTACTCAATCTTTTTTCTTTAATCAAAGCATCCGTTTAATGAGTGAGCTGAGGTATTCTAAAACCTGATTTTTATCCACTGGTAGAGCATCAGACTATCATTCTGCATCTTTTTCTTCTCTTTTGTTGTTGGTTACCCTCTGAGCAAGCATGGGAGGATAAAGTTGTTTTGTAGACTTGTTTCCAATATACTTCAACCAAGTTTTCAACAGGGATATGCTCTGAAATTAAACTCCTTATTTTTAATTTGCAGAAAATCATCAGCGAATGTAATTGATGCAAAAACAATGTCATCTGATCCTGTTGCAGTTGTTGAATTACCTCATAGGGTTCCATATGGGTTCCATGCCTTCTTTGTGACGGAGGTGAATCAAACTTCATTTTTAGTTCTGTATTTGAATTGTCACTTTCATCAAAAACTTAAGTTAGTGTCTGTTTGGCATGTTGGTTAAGCTGCTTCATTCCAAACCATGTGTTTACCAGAAGTGGAGATTAAGACGATTAGTCAAACAAACCTAGGAAAAACAGAAATTCCATATCCAAATAATGGCAATATGGACTTTGAAGATCTTGGAACTCTAATAGAAGATAAAGTAGACTGGGGTTATTGTAATATTATATACTTCAAAGTAGAGCAGAGATTTTATGCAAGGGTCATGGTAGAGGTACATAGGATTGTCGCTGAAACTAGGCAAATGCACAAAATTTGTATAGCAGTTAGCGAATTGAGAATGCTGTTAGCTCTCATACATGGAAGTAATGCATTTGCAAAAAGCTAGGTATGGCACCAAATAACAAGGACTAGATACTCAACTGATATGGTACCCTGTAATGTAACAGAGACCACTGCATCATTTGAACATCTACTAATCTAACACATGATGTCATTAATCGGATTTGCATATTTAAGAAGAATTCTTAACACCACCTGGCAGTCGGAATATTGTCTATAAATATCATTAAGTTTAAATTGAATTGCAGCAAAAATTTAGATTATCCTACTGTTTCTAGTTTTAGCAGTTCTGCAGACTGGAAGAACATGTGCTACATGATTGTTGTTCGAAAAACCCGTTGCACATATTCCCTATTTTTCAGCTACTTAACCTGAAATTCTTTGAATATTGAACAGGAACAACTTCAAGAACAGGCAATGCTGTAATGGTTCAAAGCAGAGATCATATAATCATTCAGGTGTCAAATGGAGAAGTACCAGGAAGCTAAGTTATATCCATATAGTGTATATTTGTTATTTCATCAGTGTATGCTAATATTCTGTATGCTATTTCCTGATACACAAAAACCTTGGTGTAATTTCTGTCAGATTAAGAAGATACAATTTTAGTACCCAAATCAGTGTTCAATGCCCTAACTGAGCATAATGGAGATAAATAATAAAAAATAAACTGATTCTAAGATAATTTGAAACTGGAGCCAAATTGAGCAGGTCTTTGTTTAATTCTGCATTGTATGATATCTGTGGAAGATGCATTACAAATTTTCAACCTTTCCTTTAACGTTAATCGCGGTTAGAGAAACGGAAATGACAAATAATAACTGCTGTTAAAAAGAAATGCTGCAAGTGATTATATACAAAGTGAAAGAGAAATTTTCTACATAACATTGTCATGGGTTTATAAAGCAAAACTGACACATCAGTACAATGTAGTAATCAAAAGATCCTGATCTTCTATTAGACTAGCTCGAAATTGCTTAGCCAATTGCTTCTGCTAGGAGAGTCTTCAGATTTCAAACCCATGGAAGCATTAGCATATGGCATTATCAAAAATGCTTTCTTCCTGGACAACTGTACAAGCATAGTCTAGCTATACCAGTACATATTCAATTTAGGTAAAGACTCGGATTCAGAGATTGCAAGGAACAATAATCCTGAAATATGAACAACACAAATCAGCCTAGACATCATCTCAAATTACTTGGAGTTGCATGCTTGAATCATTTTCCTCCAGTTGCAATGTTTTCCTGATATATACAGGAACAAAATCCTTTCCTGCAGTTCCAAGAAAATGGATTCCTCTACAAAATGGAAACCCCCATAAAGTATATAAAATTAATATAGGCTTTCGTTTAAATAAATTCTCTAAAGGGAACTACTGGGCAAGCAAGACTAATTTTATCTCCAACATAATGAAACTTCTGACGTTTATATAATTCAAACAGAGTAATGTATAACTAATCCCAAGTGAGGACTTAACTAAACAACATCAACCAATCTTTGATATCAATAAGCAGCCACATCCAAAGCTGCATGGCATAATTCAGCTTTAAAATAGAGAATAATAGTTTGAAAATCATCGGAGAAAAAAAAAATCATGCTACAATCTATTGCATCCAAAAAATGTGCTCATTATATAAAAGTTGATCTGAATTCAAAATCAAAGCTTTCAAATAGATCTTAAAACTAAAAAGCTTAGAACTTTATATTTCTAGAAAAGATTATATTCCTTTTTTAAATTTAAACAAGCCTAAATAGAAATCACTTGGCAAAAACTAGTATGGAAAAAATGGGGAAAAAAAAAGAAGAAAAAAAAAAGGAAGAAGAAGACGAAGGATATCCCTCGGCATTTCGCCCAAATTCAACCTGACACATGAAACGATCATATGGTTCCTCAACCTCCAGAAAGGGAGCATCCATTTGTTTTTCAAAGAATTTAATTTTGTTTCATGTGCATTTTCAGATTACTAAATTTCTCGTCACCGGGATATCAAGATGCATCTATTTAGAATAGTACAGATATTCATATAAACCAAACAAAAAATAAAAGGCAGAGGAAGGAGCGGGGTAGATGCAAAGAGACAACTCCGGAAGTTCATTCGCGTTGTAGCTCGAGAAAAAAAATTAGGGTTTAGTGAACATAAGGTACGATATCATATGGCGACGGCGAGTTATCAGAAGAAGAGAATAGAACGGTGTCGTTTATTGGATATGCTTTGTGACCCTTATATATTAAGAAAGAGATAGTGTCTGAGGCCGACATAGATCATTAAAATTTTGACCGCGGTGAAGAGAGCCCCACATTTGCACCATTGGCTGTCAATGTGGCATTAGAGAAAGCATATCAATGGAACATGTCAGATGACACGTGGATTTAATATAAAAATTCATAAAAACTTTCTTTCTCAAGTCTCATTTTCTCTCTCTTTCCCTTTGTTTTTTTCGCTTATGGCTGTTTCTCTCTCCTTACTCCATGGCACCATCTCTAGGAACACAAACACCACCATCAAATTCCTTCTCAATCCATAGCACCATCGCTGGCATATTATTTGCATAAAGAATTGAGAGCTGGAGCTATGTAATTGAATTTATAGTTTGAGTTAAAAGTTCTTTAGATGAACTACTTTGGCTTTCAAATTATGTATTTAATTTTTTTATCATCTGTGAATTGAAAAGAAATTTGTTGTTACTACTGGTGTTGCTATAGACGATGATGATGGCTTGAGGAGAGAGAAAGAGCCATGGAAACAGTTAGAAAGAGAAAATGAGACTTGAGATGATGGCTTTTATAAAATTTTAATGTCAAATCTACGTGGCATTAACCTGTTTCCGTGGCTTTCACTAATGCCACATCATCTATCAAAGTGTAAATATGAGGCTCATTTCATCCCAATTAGAATTTCGGTGGATCACGTCAAACTTAGACACTTAATTGTAAATTTTAAAAAGCTTCAGTACTTAATTAACAGTATTTTTTGTTCAGACACCAAAATAGAAAAAAATTAAAAATTCAAACATCAAATATAACGTCATCCCTTTTAGGAAATAAAAAGAGAAACCCTTATCATGATAATTATGTATTTTCTCCTTATTTTTCTTTTTTATTTTATATTATATTATTAATTAATAAGCTCTAACTGTATTATATGTATTTTCTCCTTATTTTTCTTTATTTTCTTTTATATTATATTATTAATCAATAAGCTTTAACAGTATTATATGGTCATGTTCACGTAGCTTTTTAATTAAAACACACTACTTTTATTATTTATAGCGTTACTTACTTTTAATATTTACAGGGCGTCAGTAAATGTATTATTTACACTAGTATTTAAAAATTGAAAAAATGAATCATAAAACATTACTCCCTTTTAACATTTGATGAGCAAATTTTGGTGAACATATCCTATTTCTCTCAAAAAAAAAAAAAAAAAAAAAAAAAAAAATCGCAGCCTCAAGAGAAATCAATTAAAAAAAAATGTATCCTGTATTAACTTGTATCAAAATTAGATGAAAGCAATATGAAATAAACCTATTATAGTTTAACCCACCAAAATTCAAATTCAAATCTTAATTACTAAAGCAAACTTCTTTTATTTATAGCTAATAAGCCAGCATTCCAAAGGGTGTATATATGTGTGTGTGCATGTATGTATATATTCATCATGTCAGATCAAACATTATATAGCCCTATCATTGGCCATGTTCCTGGAAAACAGATGCATTACCTTACCATGATGGAAACAGCAACCCAAAAACTAGTAATATGGAGATGAAACAATTCTTAAAACATTATTCTGAGGGAAGTGACAAAAAGAAGAAAAAGCACCACCATTTCCAACTAAACTCTTAACATTGTTGAGATGATAGGGTACAACAGCAGGTAACCCTTTCGTCATGAACCAATATGCTGTCACACTTGATATTAGTCCAAATATAAACTAACTGTCTATAGTTCCCACTACTTCCTACAGCGTAGATATACAAGTTTCAGTTTTTTTACAGAAAAGGTGAATGGAAGTGAGACCGAACTCGTTTAAGAATGAAGACAGCATAAAGACCCCAAGTTTCAGTTTCCGCGATCACTGTATCTTCGTCACCTATGAAAATGCACCAAGTATTCAAAGCCAAGAATGAATTGCCTGGAAGGAAACACTACACAGAGAGATATGAACCCCAAGTTGAGTATGATGATTATCTCCAGCTTTGCCTGCAGAAGGGAAAACCTGCTGTCAGACATGGAAAGGGAAAAGGAGAAAAGGAAAACATGAGTATGTCTAAGTTAACAGTTGCACCTCTGCAAAAATTGCTGGAGGGGCCCCTACAACCTGAGGTGGAAAGTCAGTTAATGGGCAGGACACCATTTGAGACCCCATTTCTGTGTGTGGTTTCCCTCTGCAGAACCAAGAAGCCACCAGTCAAGCCATCACTTGATGGTGGATGATACATTGATGAAAGTCCATGGGCATTACCATTGGAGGAGACGCATGCTTGCATTTCCTGAGCAGTGGACCCTTTTCCTTCTTGCTGACAACTGGAGGAATCCAAATCTCCAGTCCCATTTTTGGGCAACCATTCGGAGCCTGAGAAGAGGACAGGTTGTCTTGAAGGATTAGCACCTGAACTCCCATCTTCGTCTGATGCAGGATTTGAAGAACTACTTTCAGACTTCTTATTACTAAGAAAACGGCCTCCACAACCCCTTGCCCTTCTCATAGCATGTTGGTGTCTGGACTCATGAAGGTATGGCTGATAGCAAATAACAACAGATTCATATTACAATACTGGAAATCATTTGGTTCCAGATTACATTAACACAGCTTTAAATTCAAAATATTGAGAGCACTATGATATGCAACTAACAGGCCGAGCAAAACAAACTTGGTTCACCTTTCACTTTAATTTTCTATTCATACAAAACCATCAGAACTTGTTTAGTTCACCCCTCTAGCTGGTGATTGATTACAATTAGTCTCCTTAAGCAAATTCAAGATATATATGTGATTCTCTCAACTTCATGACCCCAAACTTAACTTCAATCCAGGGTAGAAGTTATTCACTTAACTGAATGAACAGGATACCAAACTCGTGCTAGACTGCTAGTTGGAACTTGGATATGTAAAATATAAATTTTCATAGTTGAAAGAGCATTGATATATGGGATGCTTCATGTCATCTGAACTTGTCCTTTCTGGAACTCTCACCAATATGCAGGCAATCGATACTCAATAGGGTTCTATTACATCACTATACCATGAAAATGTGAGTTTTTCTCCCTGAACTTCTACAACTCACTGATATATACAACTTTAATTTTCTATAACTGACCAAAGCTAATAACTTCCCCCAAGCACCAGTCACAGTTGGTTTGATTCACAGAGTGACAGCTCCCAAATTCACATCTTCACAAAGTTTATTAGGTTCTCATTTTTTATAGCCGACTCCAATTAGTTTGGGACTAAGGCTTGGTTGTTGTTAACATCAGTTAAGCAAATTAAGCAATTAACGAGAATTTTATGCTACTGCTAATTCATTCTGAGGATAAACAACAAAAAGCTGAATAAGGGTGAAACCTGGTATAAGCAATACCCAATAACATATTTTAGTATTTTTGCTAGAGAAAGTGATGCACACAGGCAATTAATTTTGGAAAGAAACGCGTTAATTAATCAATAGATTCTATCAATATTATAAAAAAAAAAAAGATAAAATAACCTGCTGCTCCGAATTAACAATACAGGTCATTATCGCTTTCTTTAATAACAGATGTATAATCTAAACCTAGGATTTTTCAGAGAAAACTTAATTCATTCGAGAGAATTAAAAAATATAGTAAACATATCTCCAACCTTTCTGACTTTTATTGCTTTCTTTTCTAGCTCAGCCTTTGCGCGTGCCTGTCTTCGCCTCAAAATACCATGAAATTGCTTTGCGTTGACAAAAACAGGTTCTTCTTCCATTTCAAGGGGCAAAGGGATTCTAGCATGATGCATCCCATATAACTGAGAAGGTACCTACATCACGTTGAGAACTTTCATATGCCTGATGACAATTAACTCTTTACTTCAATTTAACAATTGCTAGCGTAGGGGCATGGGTCAATACTATGGCGAAATAACAGCTTCATATGTTACTAGCTTATTTGTGCCACAGTTTTGACAATTTAGTTCCAGTTGCAGACTACTAGAAAATCCATACAAGTTCATCAATTGAGCCAAACTTTGTTTCTAAAATATTTAACCACCCCCCCCCCCCCCCCCCCTAAAAATATTTAACCACCCCCCCCCCCCCCAGGGGTCGAGTTTTAAAAAAAAAAAAAAAAAAAAAAAAGCAAATATTGGGAAAAAAAAAAAAAAAAAAAAAAAGCAAATATTGGATGGTACAATAAACAGAAATCGATAAAGTAACAGCAAGGTCAGGAGCCATCTGGGTTTCAAATGTAAAGCATATCAAAGAGGTGCGGAACAACTGTCTTAACTATTCTAAAATTTACTGTAAACAAAAGACCATGGATAGCATACCACCACTTGTGGTGCATAAGAAGCTAACATCCCGCCATATTGTGGATCCGAATATGGATATGACGTCAAAACCTGAAAAACAGGAACGGAGAACAATGAACAAGTGGAAAACAAGTCAAATTCTAGAGATGTGTCTGAAGATGGCAATTACAACTGTGTGTGCACAAATGCATGCACCATGCAGATTATACCTACAGGCAAGCATGCATTAGACATGCAGTCACGTGTGAGAGAGATCTTACAATTGAGTGGCCGACAAGTTCCATTTGGGAATTTGGTTCAAGGTGTGTGTCCATACTAGCAGGTGTTGATGATGCAACCTGTTTGAGGTGATGCTCTAGTCCATTACTTCCATCTGGTCTAGAAAAGAAACACTCCCATTAATATAATAATACAGGTGTGTCTATGGATAATCTGCTAAAGTGTTATACAGGAAACAGATTAGTAGGCATACTGCAAATAATCTATGCAGCTTATATTAAATATCATCAGACTTGTTTGCAAACAGGAAAAAAAAAAATAATATTTCAGTAAAAGAACTCAAGTTACAGGTTTATGCAAGGTAAACATCCATGCGCATATATTTCGTAACAATATGGAAATAGTTCCATGCTCCAATGAGCAATGGAGCTACTGCATACTAAATAAGTTTCGCAAAAGAAAGTCTAGCAAACTTGACATATTTCAAAGATAGTATTATTAGGCATCTGCTGGATATTTTTAGCTTTCTTTCGTTATCTGCGTTACATTAGGAGATTTGTTAAATTCACACTAATTTCTATGGGGATGAAAGACACAAGGGAGTCTGGCAGTAAGTGTAGAGTTCAAGGATCTTAAAAGGAGTCATGGAACTGAAAAGATGAAAATGAAAGACAGGACTTATATCCATTCTTCTTTACATTTTCCTCGTTTTTTGGAAATTCATAAAAGAATGTTATCTGAAATATTTATTATACTATCTAATTATGGGGGGGAAAATAAAGAATTGCCTTCCAGATTTATACATCTATGTTTAGGAGCACGTTGCATTGCCTCATACTCTACAATACATGTGGTGGACACTGCCACTTCAACATACACAGGAATGCTATCATATTCACATATCATTAAACCCTTTTTATTTATCAACACCCGCCAATTCCATGCCCCTCACATTCTCACCTCCACCCTCAACAGGAAAAAAGAGAAAAAGAAGATTTCATGTGAAATTTCTAACAATAAAATGATAAAAAGAAGCATAAGTACCAGGTTGTGATGCAACGCTGATCTGCACATCTTTATTGGTGTTGGCTCCATTATCTAAGCCAGAATTAGCTTGGGACTGGATGGCTCCATCAGGTTGAGAACCATTCAAGTTCTTAGCTGAAGATGATTTTGATGCAGTTTCACCAAAGTTAAGACTATTCCCAACTCCTCGCCACCAAGGTTGAGAGTATATGGCTGATTGCAACACAGTCTGTGTAGTCTGTTCTAACCGATGATTTTCATTTTCAGATTTAGCAGGCATTATTCAATTCTTCCTAGAAAAATATCAACAGCTCAATCCCCAACCACTCTACTGAAATAAAATAAAAATAAAAATTACCAGAAACTGAAATACAACAAAAAAAATAATAATGAGGAAAAAGTTGAACATTACATTTAAGTCATGGAAAGCTAAAAAATTGAAGAAGGAAAGGAAATATAGGTAGTAATGGTGAAGCTGAGAAGTTTATGGTGCTGCACCTTTCTTAATATTTTTCCTTCTAAAAGAAGACCGAAACATAACTTGTCAGAACAGCTATAACACCTTAGATAAAGGAACAGCATATGAAAAGAATAAATATCCTGAGCATAGAATTCCACACAGCAAGGAAACAGAAAACAAAAGCATAAATTTCATACATATGCATGCCACAACTCACAAACACTAATATAAGAAACCTTCCATAAGAAAAACATATTCATCTTATTCCTGATGGTCACTACAATACAGGATTGAAACACAAATTTTAGAAAAAAGTTAATAGAAGAAAAAGTTTAACAGAACATTAAAAAATAAACAAAATTAGAAATATCACCACTATTCATAATCCTTATACAAAGCACTTTACTTTAAACTAAAGACAAAAAATTTCATCTAAATTAAGATTTAACTCAACTTCAAATTTTGCTAAAATCCACTCCATTAAGCACAAACTTAAATAAAATACAAAACCAGAAAGCGATATACTATTCTTCTCTCGAGAACCCAAAACCAAAACTTTCCAAATTCCTGTTCTTTCCCTTAAATTTTCCACCCAATAGGGAAGAGAAGAGGGGGTTGGGGGGAACCATTATAAAAAACACAAACTTAAGACATCCAAAGACAAAATTTTGATCGAAATGGAACAGAAAAACAGAAATTTCAACAGCTAATAAGAGAATTACTTACTGTGAGATTGAAACCCTAGAGCTCTTGAAGCTTGGAGAATCTACGTAAAGGTCATCGATTTTGGTCCAGTTTTTCTTATTTTCTTTTTTTTTTATTATTTATTTTTCCCGTGCAACCTGAAGAGAGACACAGTCGCATTTCGATTGAGAAAGAGAACAATATATATATATATACATATAAAAAATAGGTATTTTGAAGAAATGGAGATAATTATTTTTTGTTTTTTATTTTAAATTAATTAATTAATTATTGTTCACGCAAAGGTCGTTCTCTTTGTCTGTTCTAAGGAAGAAAATGATAAATTTGGGGACATGAGGTGTAGACTTTCAAGTACGACAAAACTACCCCTCGTCATTTCTTTTTATATTTTATTTTTCACTATCTTTATTTTTTTCCGCTAGAGATATATTTTTTTATTACAACAAAATCGATCTTACAAACTCTAATAATTTATATTTAGCTCATGATATATAAGCATTTTCATTTTTTATCAAGTGAAGAGAAAAATATATATAATTCCACATTCAATGTATGCTTGTTACTTAGGCAAGTTAATTTTTTAAAAAAAGTGAATTTAAATGGTAAAATATATAAAAAAAAAACAAAAACAACATGAGTTAGAAATTGATTTATTTAAAAAATAATAAAAAATTGTATATCATCATTATTGCTCAAAAAAGCATGGTAAGCAACCAAAAGTGGAAGACAATTTCCATAGATCATGAAATTCCTTAGAATGGAAGATTGCAAAAGAAATTGCACTAGTATCAATCTATCATTGCCAAAAAGAAATGGGCAACTATGTATATATTTGTTCTTAAAATTTATGCGATTTGTCTTGTGACATCCTCAAATTTATATGTAACCTATCACGATGTCACACATTTATATTTTAATAATAACTATATCTCTCGCCAAAATAAAATGTAAAGATGCAGAATCAAAATTGAACTCTTATAAAGTTATTTCATCTGGGTGAATGACATAGTTATTATTAAAATGTGAAAGTATAGGGTCGTGAAATCTCTACAAATTTGAGATTACCGCAAAGCAAATCGCGTAAATTTCAGAAACAAATCTATATATTTGAAAAAAAGAAAAAAAACACATAAAATATTATTTTCCATTTCTTTTTAGGTTCAAAAACCAAAGTAAAAATGAAAAAAAGCAAGTGAATACATTAGTTGAAATCCTACAAAGTACAAGATCAAGTTACCAAAAGCTACACACATGTAGAACAAGAAAGGTGAAAGAACCCATAATTTCTCTCTTTATTCTAGAAAAAACCAAGAAAAGAAAATATAAAGAATGGAAGAAAAACTTATTTACAAATTGAAGTCCAAGATTAGTAGATGACAAAGTTGTCCCACAAATGAGGGACATAGGCACTTTTCTTCCACAAGTTGTGGAGTTTCCTTTAGAGTTTAGAAACGCTTGAGTACTAAACTTTAAACATTTACCTAACTTGAATATCGTACAAGTTTAAGTTGATAAGTTGATATCATACTAGAAAATTAGTCGGTCTCAACACTTTTTATTTCTTATTAGTCAATGTATTGTTGCTTGCAAAGTCAAGTTGCTCAAATTAATTCCTTTCAAATGCCATATTTAAACAAAGACAACATTTTAACATGTCTTTTTATTTTATTTTTCCTAGTATATATGTCATAATTTGAAAAATAATTAAATTTTACATTCTCAATCTTTTCAAGACAATGTACCTACACATTATACAAACATAACATTGATAATTAAGTGCCTAATTTAAATTTTATTTGGAATTAATTTAAAGGTACTTTTAAAAAGTATGTTTTGGTTTTTTTTTTATTTTGTAAATAATGATGTGGAAAAAATTAAGAATGTTTAAAATTTTATTATTTTCTAACCCACGATAAAGCAAATATAATTTATAAAAATCATATAATAAAATTGTAAAATAAAAAACAAAAATCTAATTCGATGATCAGTTGATAATCAATATTTGACATATAAAATTTCAATTGAAAATTAAAAGTGTAATAAATTTGTTCGATGAAGTATTATTTTGAAATTCAATAATTATAGTTTAAAATCATAACTAAAATACTGAAAATTAATATTTTTTATTGTTGAGATTGGGGCTTATTAACCCTAAAAATTGATATTTTTGTTTTTTGCCAACTCTTCTTCTCTTTTCTTTAATTTTTAAAACTTATTTTATGCAACTCCAATCTTACAAAAATTGGAACAAAGGGTAATATCGACATTACATACAACAATAATAATTAATTTGGATTAGTGGAGAATAAAGAAATTGAAACATAAAGAAGAAATTATATAAAATTAAAAGTCATGTAGGTGGGAATTTTGCCGGCACTGACACATGTATAGATAACGCTACGTGTCGTAATCATAATGACTAATACATGGACCCACAGACTTTATACTTTGCCACGTTGTACTGTCGCACTATGAAATTGTCAACGGCGATACCCCCGTTTGATGACGACGTTGTTGTCTTCATCCTAGGTAGCAGCCATCTGTGACCCGGTCCACATTTTTGTTTTTTTTTGTTGTAAATGCATTAGAATAATAAAAATTATTAATTATAAATTGAGTTTAACTTTTTTTTTTTATTTATATTAATAAAATAAAAAATTTTAATATTTTTTTGATTTATAATCTTTTAAATTTTTTAATATTAAAAAGAAAAATTCAGACCAATAAGATTGAAACTTTTATACCTATTTTTAAAAAGTTTAATTACAACCATTAGCATGAATGATAAATACATTAAATTAAAAGTTTATAGGCTTTTATATTATAAATTTGTATAAATGATTAGTTTAAAATTTATATTTACTCTAATATAATTGCATTCATTTCGTATATTTTTAATTTTATTAATTTAATTTAATTTTAAGTGAAGTCAATTCTAAGGATGCAAAAGGAGTGGAGGTCAAAATCCATGTGAATGGAGGAACTGGGCACGTGTGCACAGGCTGGCATGTAGAGCACCGAGATGAAAGCCACGTAGAAATCGGAGGCTAATATTAACAACATCTGGCAAAACCAGGTCCCAGCCAATCGAATCGAACCACATATATTATATAGATTTATATGATTTGTAGTATTTTTTTTTTTTTTCAATAACCCATCATGATTAATTTAATTTGAACAAATCTTTTCAAATCAAACCAAACAAACCACCAACATTCCCCTCCACAAAGTGCATGAAACTTCCCCATCTCAGGGAGATGATGACATGACCTGGGGATTATGGAGACACATCCTGAACAAAAGCAGAGAATGTGTCTGATCAGATAAATAAAAAAATAAAATATAGAAAGCAACTCAACAGAAAAAAGGACTAGGCTTTTCTAATTATTTAATTTGTACTTTACCTCAAACAAAGTGATGCCTACAATTTTTTTTTCCCCTCAAAAAAAAAAAAAAAAAAAAAATTAGAAAGCAACTCCAATCAGAAAAAAAGGACAGGCTTTTCTAATTATTTAATTTGGTACTTTACCTCAAACAAAGTGATGCCTACAATTTTTTTTCCCTCAAAAAAAAAAAAAAAAAAAAAAAAAAAATGCAAGACAAACCCAATTGGGAGTCTGATGTTACTTCGATAGAAAAGCCAATACATTGAGCAAACTTCATTCTTCCCAAGACTTAATGTAGTGCATTTTCCCACCTTAAAATCTGCTAATAAAACTAAAACAAAATGTTTCTATGAAACTTTACAGGGTAAATCAATATGCTCCTGCATAAAAGGAACATTTATGTTTCAGCTCAATTGGGTTCCATTTGCGTCTTAATTAGAATAGTATTTCGTCGAACATAAGATCATTAACCTTCAGGAATGGCAGCAGCCACCTCGCTATGGAAACATTCCCTCAAGAAATTCATCGAAGTTTTCATCGTCAGCTTTATGATCATGTCCTGATATTGAAGCCTGTTTACCTGTTCAGAGGGGAAAAAAAAGGCACAAATTGTAACTGTAAGCACACAAGATCTAAGGTTGAGAGAGAGAGAGAGAGAGAGAGAGAAGAGAAGAGAAGAGATTGTCTACTAATTAATAGCTATTTCGTGTATTTCCCATTAGCATACAAAGTTATCAAATTTGTGGAATTAATTCAACTGGATCACTCGTATGCCATTCATCCCAGTGCGTCGTCTAATGAAGAGTAAATGTAGTTGAAGTAATATAAGTAGCATGTATAGACCTTTTTTCCTATTCTCTCTGCTCCCTTCATTATCTGAATCATCATCAATTCTTGATTTTTCCCTGAAAATAAACTGTTGGTCAGCCTCTATACACCAGAAGTTGGGATAATCATAATTTAACTGTGGTAATGTGTTGACAGGTAAAATAGAACCTAAGAGAGTCCATAGTCCCTACCTCTTTCTTTTATGCTCTTCCTCATCCCTTTTCTCTAATTTTTCTTTTTCTTTCCTATTTTTGTAGTTAAGCTTTTCCACACATCTGTTAGAATCACTCAGCATAAAGAATAGCAACCAAGAATACATTATTGACAAGTAATCTCAGGTTACATGAAAAAAGAAATGGATTGCATAAAACAAAAGAGTCCTCAAATAAATAAATAAAAATGCAGTAGTTAGCTTCCAGTATACTAACTCACCTTTCACAGGTTACCAACTTCACAAGGGCTTGCTTGTTTTCACCAGCTTCAAAATAAGAAAAGTTCACCTGCAATATATCAGAGGAAAAATGTGAATTGTTGACGTCATGGCAGGTCAAACCAAGTCATGCATCACGATGGTTCTTGAATGGACATGTTCCATTATGATCAAAAGCATAAAATAAAACTAAAGCAACAGGTAAGCCATATTTGCACATTAACGTGCCATGATGCCACAATGATGAACAAGCTCATAAAAGATCTTGACACCAAAGTACTTTTGCTTAGAATTTAAAGAGTAGATATGCTTACCTCATAGCTTGCCAAGCCATCTTTCTCATCACAATGTTTGTTACCACATATGAACTGCCCTGACAGAAAGAGGTAAAGTCAATTTGTAATATCAAACAAACATACGTCCTTTTAAGAGTTCAAGGAACAAAATGGGTATGCAGATGCCAAATAATAAGAAGGGAAAATATAATTTATATCTATGTCTGTGCATCATAAATGACTACAGTGGCATGTCCCAAATACACATAATGGATTTGACAGGAAAATTAGATACAAAAGTTATAAAATTCATTGATAACATCTGAGAACACATTACTATTTAAATTTCAGGTGATATTGGTTATGCATAACAAATCATATCAAATTTAAAAAAAAAAAAAAAAAAAAAAAAAAAAAAAAAAAAAAAAAAGAAGTAAAGACATGTTCACTCAATTATTTCCTAAATGATACAGGTTCTACGATAAACCATTGCGGAGATAACAGATTATAAATAAAATAATGAATGAAGATAATTGTATTACCTTTCCCAGATATGACTTCCTTCTCTGTTCTCCATCTCAAACCAATCTATAGGAAAAACTTAACAAAAGGAGAAAAGTTATTAAAATACAATGCAACTCAACATTAAAGTTCTTTACAGCAAAACTAGGCATGCATCATTCTGTTTCTCATAATTAGCCTTTCCATAGAAGTTTAGACTAATGACAATATGGTACATGAAATGAAGTTCACAAAACTCTCTTTTTTTATTTTTTTATTTTTAAGTGAAACAGCCTCTTAGCATAACAATAGCTCCATCTAGAGCACAGATACTGGAAACAGCTAAGACTAGAAATATTTATACAGTGGATGACCACATACCTTGCCACTCTTGTATTGAGACATGTCAGCTATGCAGTATCTTCAAATAGTTTAAGGCAACAGGAAAGGCTTTACGAGTTTGCTAATGTAATTATAATGAATATAGTAGCAGCAAAGAATATGGTTTACAACCAGAAAAAAAGAATAAATTGTTCAGAGAAAATGAAATGAGATGTTTTAAGAAAGGATACTCTTTAAACAGCTTATCATAGTAACGCTTAACTAGCCTTTGCTCCCAGGATGTATCCATGTCATCTTCCTCGGTTCGTATAAACCTTAAACAATAGAAGTGGTAATCATTAGACAATGCTAAAGTTTCATGTTAAAAACAGAAAACAGATCATTAAATACACAAAGGGAATCCCCATCATTGGTCTGTTTTGACAAATTCTATAGAAACAGATTCCAAATGCCATGTACACTACACTCGGAAGAGCTTAACTTAGAAGCAAAAAGTCAAGTTGTTGACAAAAGATAATCAGCTAATAAAAGTAAATTACAAGACTCTTGAAACAAGATCAATAAACCTGTATCCTTCTCTTAACGTGTCCTGATCCGTTTTAACTGGCAGCTTCACATTTGCAGACTTCTCTTTCCCATAGAAACTAACTGCATCAAGATTATACCCACAAGAAAACCAATATATTATTCAGAACAAATCTACATTATTAAACCATAATCTGGCCTAATCACCTATAGGCCACAGAGCACATAAAAAAAAAAAAGTCACAAGAAGTAATTTTTACATTAAGAAAAGAAAATATATGGATGATTGTAGCCTCCTTCCGTTCTTAGTAGAAGAGATTGTTCATCATCCATTTGCTTTTGGACATAAAAGATTCCACAAATACAAACCTCCCTATTTGCATAATTCCATTTATGTCCATTTTCAACTATCAAATGAAGAAAAAAAAAAAAAAAAAACCCTCTTATCTGCATAATTCCATATATCTTTCATATTTAAACTAACAAAAATGGAAAAAAAGAAAAAAGTTTTAGACCTAATTCGGTTTACAAATCCTTTTTTCATATTTCAAAGCTTCAAAGCATTAATTGATGAAACGAGAGTTCGTTATTACCATAATCATTCACAAATTTCTTGTGCCGATCGTAGGCGTTGAGGCCTCGAATGTGAGCTTGGTATTGCCTGTCAATAACAGAGTTTCAGTATTTAATTCCATTGAAGTTGAGGAAGAAAAAAAAGGAGGTATTATAGAAGTTACTGTTTTCTCTCTTCTCTATCGTAGATTGCAGATTTTAGAGAGCCAAAAGATGCCATTTTTGCTCTGTAATCTGCTTCGATATGCAAAGCCCTAATTGCCGCTTTTCTAATTGGAAGATTTGCTGCTCGCGAGTCTTTAACGACACAAATATGGATCGTTTCAAACTTGTTTTACTATTAGACCACAGGTCGTTTCAAGCAAATATTTTCACGAACGACAGAACGCCCGCATCAGTCCTCAGTCGTTTCAGGCGAGTTTCATGTTAAATTTTTTATCAGAGAAGTTTTGTTTTCCCTTCAAAAATTATTTTTCCATGGAAATATGCATTATTTTCCAATAAAAACCTGATATGGAAAATTAATTGAAACATGGTTTTATAAAGACTTTTACATTTTTTTTTATTGTTCACTAATAATTTTTTCTGATGACATCCATTTAGAAATCACTTAAATATCTTTTGATTTTATTAGTTTTATTTAAGTTTTTCAAAAGTTTTTTTTTTTTTTTTTTTTTTTTTTTTTTTAAAAAAAAAAAAAAAAAGAGGAAAACCTTATGATTTATAAAAGTTTAATAAGTAGGCAGTTGATCTCAAGTTGAAGTTGTTTTCCATTAATTGTTTGAGAGAAATAAGGAGAACGCTAAGGAGTTGGTTGGTCACCATTTCAAATCCATGCATTAATCTTAGTCCCGCAAACAAAGTTGATCCAAGAAATCTCTGATCTGAAGGTGATAATCCCACACCACAGATAGCTCCTAAGCAGAAAAAATGGTGTAAAAGAAAAATGGATATTAGTTTTTGACTCTTCTCTTACAATGCTTCTAACTCCATTTCTTTAGCTTTTAGCTTTTACCATCTTCTTTTCTCAACTTATTACACTTATTTCCTTGCCATTTTTGAGCAATGGATGCAGCATTTGCAAGGCAAGCAATTTGCAGGGAAGATCCATTTAACCCATTAGTTACAACAGGCATGCAAGGAGCTGCCATGCTTGTAATCTCTCACATATTTCATCTTATCTTGACACCTTCAGGACAACCAGGACCTATTGCAAATATTATTGTATGCTTCTTCTAATCTTTTTCTCTTTCTTTCCTATAAAATCATACAGATGGAAGGAAATAAAAACTAACCGGTTATTTGTTTTTGGCAGGCTGGATTGGTGCTAGGTCCTTCATTGTTGTGTCGTATCGATCAACTTAAAGAATTCTTCATCCAGAGCTCATCTGTAGAATACTATAAAGTTCTGACATTCAATATTCGAGTCTTTTTTATGTTCTTGATTGGTTTGAACACAGATGTTGGTTGTTTTAGGCGAAACCTGCGTTCTGCTAGCATAATTGCTTATGGGGGTTTAATAGTATGCACAGTTTTTGGAGCAGCTTCTGCTTTGATTGTCCTCCATTTATTAAAGATTAGTTTCAGCAGATGGTCTTTGGTTATTATTGTTCCATTAATCCTAGCAAACTCAGCCTCCCCTGTTGTTATCCAATTAGCAGCAGAATTGAAAATTGATACATTAGATGTAGGAAGATTAGGAATAGCTTCTGCAATAGTAAATGAAATGTCTTGTATATTGTTATATTCTACGTACATTTCTGTCCAATCTTGGAAAATGTTTGGATATGGGATTCTTTGTCTACTCTCAATTGTAGCACTTGTTATTTTGAATAGGTATTTAGCTTCTTGGTTTAACAGAAGGAACCAAAACCAAAAATATGTGTCGAATACAGAAGTTCTTGTTGTTTTTGTCCTTGTCATAGGGGTTGCAATTCTGATAGAAGCAAATGGTTATTTAAGTGCACTTGCTTGTTTTCTACTTGGATTAATGTTCCCTAGAGAAGGAAAAACTTCGCGGACATTGTTGCGTAAACTCACCTATTCTGTGAACAATTTCATGCTTCCAATTTACTTCGGATACGTAGGATTTCAATTCGATGTTTATCAGTTTTCGACTCGGGAGAATATCTCTTTGATCACCCTTATGATCGTTTTAAGTACTGGAGGAAAACTTGTTGGAACTCTTGCTGCTTCTCATTACTTGAATCTTCCAAAGAATGAAGGTGTCATTCTTGCTTTCATACTCAACTTGAAAGGCCATTCTGAACTTCTAATTCTTGAAATTGTTCCAAAGTTCATTGTAAGTTTACTTATAATTTGACCATAATTAGTACAAACTATTTTCATTATGTCATTAAATCTTTTTTACTGCTAATTTTTGCAGGCTTTTTGGAACCGAAAACTTCATAGTTTGGTGATAATTGTAGTGGTACTAGACACATTAATTGCAGGATTAGTAGTAGTTTTTATGTTGAAAACGAAAGAACATTACTTTGCTCATAGAGACACCTTACTTGAATCATATGACACAGACAAAGAGCTGAGAATGCTTGCTTGTGTGTATGGCTCTCGACATATATCAAGCACAGTGGGTCTAATTTCAGCAATGAGCGGCTCGCAGAGTGCACCGACCACTCCTTATTTGATGCATTTAGTTGAGCTGCCTAGAAAACACAGGAAAACAAAACTAATGTATCATCAACTGCAAGATGGGGATCAATTTAGCGACGAAGAAGAATATGGTGGAAATGATGTTCTAGAAATAAATGATGTTGTCGATGCATTTACAGTTGATACTAAAATTCTGATAAACCAAAATAAAGTGGTTGCATCATTTGAAAAAATGTACGAAGATGTATGCATAGCAGCAGTAGATTTTCGAGCATCGATTATATTTATCCATTTACACAAGCGTCAAAGAATTGATGAGAAATTGGAAAATGGGAAGGAAGATATTAGGATTAGCAATCAGAAAATTCTTCGCCATGCACCATGTACGGTGGGGATTTTAGTAGATAGAGGACAAACTGGATTTAAAAAGCCTGGATCGGAACTAGTGCAGCAAGTAGCTACATTGTTTTTTGGAGGTCCTGATGATAGAGAGGCATTGGCTTGTAGTAAAAGAATTGCTATGCATCCTTATATTAAATTGACTGTTATTCGGTTCTTGCCAACTGCTTCGAAAGAACAGCTTCCTAAGCTGAGTAACGATGCTGCTAGTGAAAATAATGAAGTTTTATTGGCAATATCAGATCCTGAAGTTGAGACTGAGTTGGATGATGCTGCTCTCGAGGAGTTCCAAAATAGGTAATCTGGGTTCTTGCCAAGCCATCTCTTTGGTATTTTGTTTGTTGTTTTCTTGTTTTTAAGGTCTGATAAGCAAAATTAGCTGTTTTGATACCGTTTAGCCGCTAATTATTCAAGTAGTTTTTCATAAAACGCTAAAAGTTAATTCAAATGATATTTTACAGTTTGGACTAGCTTCTAGAAGTTAATATAGTATTTTGTGAAGAGTTAACACATGTAACGTTTAGCTTTTAGCGTTTTATAAAAAACTAACTAAACAATTAACGGCTACTAAAACAACTAATTTTGGCAAATAGTCCTTATAAAAAGTAGCGTTTAGCATTTTGACTAGTCAAAAAGCTGAAAACTACTTAAAAAGCTGTTGCCGAACACAACCTAATACTGGAATTAATTGATCAGGTACGTGAAATGTGGTCGAGCTTCTTACGCAGAGAAGTATGTGGACAATGGAGGACAAACATCAGCAGCTTTAAGAGAGGTGGGAATTGCATATTGTTTAATATTAGTAGGGAAAGGAAGGAGAGAGAATATACCAATGTTGATTGGTTTACGGTTATGGGAAGAGTGTCCAGAGCTTGGAAGAGTTGGGGACTTGTTAGCTTCTTCAGAATTGGACATAACCAGTTCAGTTTTAGTGATTCAACAACACAGCCACCATGTGGACAAAGAACTTGGTAGTGACTAGCTGTAGGAAATTTACATATGCATGTATAGGTTCTAGTTAACTAGTCATTGGAAATATTGTAATTGCCAAATATGTATTAGTTTGGTGGAAATGAATTTGCTTCAGATTAAAAAAAGAAAGGTTATTTATTACCATTTAACATCTATAGATCCATAAAACTAAAAACAAAATGTTAAACTAACAGCACTCAAATAATTTAACTTTAAAAATCAGGGGCTTCTTTTTTTATGAGCAATTCAAAATTTTTCTTATGAATGTGATTCCAGAGTGCAAAGTGCAGCACAAGCGTGCTTGAGAGAATTACTTTACATGGGGAGCAATTAGTGTATAGATACATAAGGGGCTCACAACAGATGCTTTAAATTCTTTTTCTTTTCCTTTCAAAGAAAAGAATTTATGCATTGATTCAATATATATATATATATAGCAGGAGCTCTGAATGTATATATACTTACAAAATAAGCCATACAACAAAACAAACATTCTCTTAAAATCTCAAAAATAAAGAGTGGATTCTATGCGTAGCTTTTCTTTTTCTCCACTCACTCACTAAGAAAAAAATGGCAGAAGCAGTTCTCTTCAACATTGCTGAGGAAATCATTATGAAGGCCGGTCCCCGTGTCCTGGAGGAGATTGGGCTGTTTTGCGGAGTGAAAGATGAGCTTACGAAACTCAAGAACACAGTTACTACAATCAAGACTGTGCTTCTTGATGCCGAGGAGCAGTCCTTAGAGAATAATAAAGTCAAAATATGGCTTGGTCCTTAGAGAATAATGAAGTCAAAATATGGCTTGGAAGGTTGAGAGAAGTGCTCTATGATGCAGATGACTTGTTGGATGATTTCTCTACGGACACTGCAGCAGCGACAAGTAATGGTTGGCAATAAAGCTATGAAGGAGGTACGTCTTTTCTTTTCACATTCAAATCAGATTATTTATGGATTCAAAGTGGGCCATAAGATCAAAGACCTTAGAGATAAATTGGTTGAAATCAAAGGTGATAGAATTTTCCACTTAGACCAACGTCCAGTGGAGAAAATCTGCAATCATTAGGCAAAGATGGCAAACTCACTTGTCTTTGCCTAAAATAGTCGCTGGTAGAGAAAATGATAATAATACAATTGTGGAGTTTTTATGGTCTGATGAAGAGAATTTATCAATTGTTCCATAGTTGGTCTTGGAGGATTAGGAAAGACAACAGTAGCTCAATTTGCATACAATGATGAGAAAGTTAAAGCAGATTTTGAGCTAAAAGGATGGGTATGTGTGTCTGATAATTTTGATGCTAAACTCATAATTGAAAAACTTTTAGAATCTATGACTGGTGAGAGATATAGTAACTGTGAAATGGATAGATTGAAAAATGTACTTTGTGAAAAGATTAATGGAAAGAAGTATTTGATTGTGTTGGATGATGTCTGCAATGAGGATCCTCAACAATGGTTTCGCTTAAAGGATTTGCTAATAGGTGGTGCAAAAGGAAGTAAAATACTGATCACCACACGTCTTATGACAGTTGCTCGGCTGACACACTCATATGTATATGAACTGCAAGGCTTATCTGGAATCGAGTCTCAGTCATTGTTCAAACAAATGGCATTTAAGCACGGACAAGTGCCAAGTCTGAGTCATGAAACAACTGGAAAGGAGATAGTAGCAAAGTGTGCAGGGGTTCCTTTAGCTATAAGATCAATAGGAGGTCTATTACTGTAAGTACGATTTCTGAGTGGATATCTTTAAAGATAATGAACTCTCAACAAGATGGTAATATCTTGGGAACTCTTAAGTTGAGTTATAACCATCTCCCCTCTCATTTGAAACATTGCTTTGCTTATTGTAGTATATTTCCAAAAGACTACGTAATTGAGGTAGAAAAACTGATGTTTCTTTGGATGGCACAAGGGTATATTGATTTGTCTAATTCTGGCCAAAGTTTTGAAGAAATTGGTTTTGCATATTTTATGGATCTTCTTTCCAGGTCTTTTTTTCAACAAGTTGAAAGAGATGAATCAGGAAATATAGTTTGTAAAATGCATGATTTGATGCATGATCTTGCTCAATTAGTTGCAGGAGATGAGATAATCACTTTCTCAAGTTCAAATGTAGCGACTATTGGCAAAAACACTAGACATTTGTCATTTGTTAGGAGAGAAGAAATCAATTCACTTTCATCTATCTTGCTCAATGCAAGAAAGACAAGAACATTTCTTTTTATAGGCAGTTCGTTTGATTGTTGGGCACAAGGGCAATGGCATGGAATGTTTTCCAAACTTAAATCTTTACGAATGTTAGATCTAGGATACATAGCCTCTAGGGAAGAAGAAAGCATGGAGATTGAGAAAGTGCTAGATTCCATTGACAAATTGAAGCATTTAAGGTATCTTGATCTTTCAGACAATTATGGTATGAAAAGACTTCCTTACTCGATTACCAGATTGTTGCAAGTGTTGAAGTTGGATAGTTGTATGAGAGTTAAAGAATTGCCAAATTACATTAATAAATTAGTTAATCTTAAACATAGAGATGTGGTTATTAACTCATATGCCAGTTGGGATTGGAAAACTAACCTGCCTTGAGAATTTATGCACATTTGTAGTTGCCAAAGATATTCCTGTGTTGGAGGACTCCATGAATTGCAGTTCTTGAATAAACTGAGAGGCAGTCGACTGCCTCTCAGACGTCTGACAATTTCAAATTTGCTCTTTGCGAGGGAAAAATGATTTTCAAGCAGCAAATTTGAAAGAGAAGACACATCTTCGGGTCTTGCGATTAGAATGGATGTCATGTCCAAATGTTTGGAGAGTATAAGGAGAGAACTGATCCAGTTAGTTCCAGATGATCATTATGAAGTTAGTGCTAATGATGTTGACAGTGTAGAGATGGCATTAGAAGCTTTAAGGCCACATCAAAATCTCGAAAGGTTTGAATTGTTCTTGTACAGAGTATCCAGGTGTCCAAGCTGTGGCTTAGTTCCCTTACAAATTTAGTAGAGATTGTTATCTTTAACTGCAAAAATATCCAATATCTCCCTGCACTTAACCACGTCCCTTCTCTTACAAGCTTGCACATTTCTTCTTTAACTTCTCTAGAGTACATAGATACAGAGCTGAATTCATTGTTTTTTCCTTCATTAAAGCATCTCAGCATCTCAAATTGCCCTAATTTAAAGGAATGGTATGTTGACACCCAAACAACATCAATGGCAGAGCAAGTTTGTTTCCATTGTCTTCGTTTTTGCTTATCAGGTCTTGCCCTAACCTGACTTCAGTGCCGCCATTTCCATTTCCTAAGATATTGAGGTTGGAAAAAGGCAGCATGAAAATATTGGAGCTGATGCTTATGTTGACGATGGTTTATGAATCAGAATCTTCTTCTTTTTCTTCTCAATTGGAAGCTCTAGTAATTTAGGCGATTGGGGATCTTGATGAGTTTCACCGAATGCCAAAGTTGCTGCTGCCAAGCCTTGCTTCTCTGCTACACCTAAAAATTGAGTATTGCTCAAGAATGATAATGTCCGTTATGCAATGGGAAGCCCTTGGAAGCCTTCATTCCCTTCAACTTAACCATATTTACCAAATGGTGTCTCTACCAGAAGAGCTTCAATATGTTACTACTTTGCAACATCTCCAAATTAAATTGTGCCCTAATTTAAGATATTTACCAGAGTGGATGGCCAATCACACTGCACTGCAAGTATTACACCTCTCCAGTTGTCCCGAGTCCAAGAGGACAGTTTGCCTAATATTGCATGTAATATAGGTGTGAGCCAAACCTTCACCCTAGAAGGTATTAGCTATGGCTATCTTTTTTTTTTCTTTCTTCTTTCTAACCAGAAAACCCAATGCTTATTTTCTTCAATGAAAATTTGATATTGCAGAGCTCGATGAAATGGAAGCATCTCTATAGGAGTTGTTCAGAGAGTTCAAAGGTGACGCATTGTTCTTACATGCATTGAAGTTAGTTTAAGGATCTTTTATGTTAACTTTTCATGTACAGTTTAATAAATTTTATGATTTATGCTAAAAAACAATAAAAACTCTCATTTCTTTCTTTCTCTCTTCACTGTAATTGCATTGTCATTTATGCAATTTTTAAATTTTAAATTTGTAATATCCATATAAAGTTTTTAAATTTAAATCTTTAATATCTTTTTAATCCAAAATTTTAAGTTTAAATCTCAAAAATAACCTGCAATTTTATCTTTGGAAAAAAAAATAAATGGAAAACAAGTTAAAAATCGGACAAATAAGCGCAATGTTCTTCAACTCAAGTACATAGGTTTCACTTCTGAAACATTGTATTTTTTCTCTTACGTGGCACTATTTCATTGGCTATTACAACATTAGTCAAACAAAAAGTACTCGCACGACTCACAAGTCATAACACAAAAGACAGTAAAGAGCTAAACTCACTGTCTGTTAAAAAAAAAAAATCTAATCAAATTTATATTTATATTTTGTTTTATTCAAATTAATTTGGATTAATATATAATAATTAATACAATAATTAGTGATTGCGGCTTATCTTATTTAAGAAGAAACTTATTTATAAAGTTCAATAAGTTCATCAAAATTGAATTTATAGCTCTAATGAAACATTTTTACAAATTGAATTTTCGAAAAAATTCATCAACAATTTAATAATCTACATTATTAATATAAACTAGAACAACAATACTAATTTTGTTCATTAATTTTATCAAAATCACTGGCATTTTAAATTTGAACTTCTAAACCAATTTCTCTGAAAATAATTATTCTTCTTTAATGAGTTAATTAATTAATATCTTTTTTTTTTTGGAAATTTTTAGCCAAGTAAAGGAAATGTTTGGATGTATATTTTTAAAATTGAGAATGTTGGATTGTGTTATCGTCTACCTCAGAATTAAACTCCATTTCCATAATTTGTATCTCTCTCTAATTCCTATATCACACTGTCGGTGGACTTCTCTCTCTAACAGCTGCAGTGTCACTTTCATCTCTTGTAAGCGAGTTTTTCTCTATTATAATTTTCATACATACATTCATTTACAGCTATATTGCACCTATCTCCTCTCTTTCTCTCTCTCTCTCTCTCTCTCTCTCTCTCTCTCTCTATATATATATATATATAAATGCACACACTGACAGAGAAAAAGTTAGAGAGAGAAAGAGATTAGCCTGCATTGCTTGTATACTGGGCTGGAGGACAATTGGGTTGCTCTCTCTCATTTGTTATCTTCTCCTTGATTGTATTGTTTTGATCTTTGATTTTCACTCTGTAAGTCTCTTGACTCTCTCTTTGTTTTTTTTTTTTTTTTTTTTTTTTTTTGTTTGTATTGGTTTTGATCTTTGATTTTCACTCTGTAAGTCTCTTGACTCCTCTCTTTGTTTGTTTTTTTTTTTTTTTTTTCCTTTTGGGAGATTTTTTTTTTTTTTTTTTTTTTTTTTTTTCCTTTTTGGAGATTTTCTCTTGCTTTCTCTCTCTTCTTGTGAGATCTGATGGAGATTTTACCAAATTTCTTTTCTTTTTAAGAAAATTCAATTGGGTTCTTAGGGGATCGAGAAATGTATGTTCTTTTTGTTTTTGATTTTGTTATCATAGTGTTGAATGCCTAGTGTTTTGTTTGGAGGCTCAGAAAGTTGAGGGAGTTAGCTGGATGAAGGAATTTAGATGTTTTCTGCTGATTTAGCCTTCAGAGGTTTCAACTATTTCTTTATCATTTGGTGATGATTTTGATAGTGTCTGTTTGATGACTGAGAAAATTTGGGAAAAGGAAAAGGAGGTTGAAATTTGATCTTTGATTTAGAATGTTGAGGTTAATCTGCCTTGTTTTTTGATGAACTTCACTATTCTGTTACCAAGAAATCAAGGATAGGTAGACTTGATTGACTCAGTTTTTTATTTTTGAGTGTTTGTTTCTATTGGATTGTAAATGAAAGGGAAAAATATAAATAAGTAAAGCCCTTTTTCCTCTTACATTTCCTCAGCTGATAAAGGATAAACGTTTCATTCTCCCTGTGTGTGTGTCTCGTTTAAGAGAGTTCTTGCTTATTAAATACTCTATATTCTCTTTGTTTGCAGATTTGAAATATAAGAAGTTACTTTCGAAGTGGAAGAATAAGTAAAGGGAGAATCTTTTTTTAACTTATTGTGTGGTGAAGCATGCATAAAGCTTTTCGAGACTGAACAGCCTTTTCTATCCATTGTTCATATCTTCTGGACGCAGAAGAGTAGTAGGCGTCGATGGAGTCTGAAGGTGAAACTGGGGTAAGCATCAAAGTGTGGTTGAATATCAGTAAAAATAGAATGTACTCTATGGTGCAGTAAACTTTCTTGTGCTGATTTTGTTTCCAAAATGGGAAAATATCACAGAAGAAAAACCCAATGGTTCAAGCAATTAAGTTTAGTAGAAAGGAAACCATTACTTGGTCATAAATTGAAATGTTGGAAGTGCTGGTTTCCTTTTTCTCTGCTGTCTCAGCATATTTACTGGGACTTAAAAGTTTGAATTTGGAAGTCTTTCTGCAGTTTCCTACTTTCTAATATTTTATGATTTATTATAATTTTTGGTAGATAGTTTAGATGGTGAAATTACACTAATGGTAATTCTTTACTGATTTTCTGAAATGTGTGCAATTGTAATCCTTGGATGCTCATTCAAAGCCCATGAAGAATGTGGGTGGACAGGTCTGCCAAATATGTGGTGATAATGTTGGCAAAACTGTGGCTGGTGATCCATTCATTGCTTGCGATGTTTGTGCATTTCCAGTGTGTAGGCCTTGCTATGAATACGAGAGGAAGGATGGGAATCAGTCTTGCCCTCAATGCAAAACCAGATATAAGAGACAGAAAGGTTTGTTGAATTCATTTTGTCAGTGGAATTTTAATCTGGTGTTTACTTGTTAGAATCTAAGGAAATTGTTATTATTGGCTGTTTTGTTATGTGCTGTAATATTTAGCATCTATCACATTCATTTTTAGAGTTTGTGCATATACATTACGAACTGCCTTTTAATGAATTGGAAAATGAAAATGTCACTCTTGTCATGGTAACTCACATCTTTGAATAATTTTTTGTTTCTAAATATATCTTTTGCTGATTCTTTGGGCAATTTTCAGGTAGCCCTGCCATTCTTGGTGATAGAGAGGAAGATGGTGACGGTGATGCTGATGAGGTTGCCAGTGATTTCAATTACTCATCTGAAACTCAAAACCAGAAGCAGAAGATTTCAGAACGCATGTTGAGCTGGCAGATGAGGTATGGGCGAGGGGAGGATGTTGGGGCTCCAAATTATGATAAAGAGGTTTCTCATAACCATATTCCTCTACTAACCAATGGGCATGAGGTAGCTCAATAAGCATCTGGTTTTTTTTTGTTAATCTGGTTTAGGAAGAAATTGAAATAAACTTAAACTTCAGCTACCAAACTTTTAGGTTTCTGGAGAGCTGTCTGCTGCATCACCTGAGCATATTTCTATGGCATCTCCTGGAGTTGGTGGTGGGAAGCGCATCGATCCTCTGCCTTATCCAGCTGATGTCAATCAATCACGTAACTTTTTCTTTCTCATGGAATATGTTCTCTGCCCATGTTTTTCCAGTCATATGTGATGCTGATTCCAGGAGTTCATTACATTCTTTTTGCAGCTAATAGGCCAGTGAGGGAGTTCGGTTCACCAGGACTTGGCAATGTGGCCTGGAAAGAGAGAGTTGATGGCTGGAAAATGAAGCAGGAGAAGAATGTTATTCCTATGAGCACTGGCCAAGCTCCTTCTGAAAGGGGAGTTGGAGACATTGATGCCAGCACTGATGTTCTTGTGGATGACTCTCTTTTGTAAGTTTCTACCTGATTAAATTATAGAACTCATTGGTGTTCCTAATGTTAGGTTAGCATGCTCTTTTTCATTGCTTCTTTTACTGTGCTTGTTTAATACAATATTTGTCTTTGTTATTTATTTCTTAATCCAGTGCCATATGAGGGGCTATGATTTATTGTGCCCTTTCGTTTTGCAGGAATGATGAAGCTCGGCAACCTCTTTCAAGAAAGGTTTCCGTTCCATCATCTAGGATTAATCCATACAGGATGGTCATTGTTTTGCGGCTGGCTATCCTCTGCATTTTCTTGCACTACCGAATAACAAATCCTGTGACTAATGCATATCCATTGTGGTTAATATCTGTGATATGTGAGATTTGGTTTGCTATGTCCTGGATTTTGGATCAGTTCCCAAAATGGCTCCCTGTGAACCGGGAAACATATCTTGACAGGCTTGCTTTAAGGTATTATGCTTTCTCTACCTGTTTCCCCATGTATCTTGTTTGTGAACAAATGTTGTTCTGTGTGTTTAGATTTGCTGAGTTCTTTGCATTTTCTTTTTTATATGTTCAGATCACTAATTGTTTTTCTATATTATTACAGATATGATCGTGAGGGAGAACCTTCACAATTAGCTGCAGTTGACATTTTTGTCAGTACTGTGGACCCATTGAAGGAGCCTCCTCTTGTGACGGCAAACACTGTGCTATCCATTCTTGCAGTTGACTATCCAGTTGACAAGGTTTCTTGCTATGTCTCTGATGATGGTGCTGCAATGTTGACCTTTGAAGCTTTGTCTGAGACTTCAGAGTTTGCAAGGAAATGGGTACCTTTCTGCAAGAAATATAACATTGAGCCACGGGCTCCAGAATGGTACTTTGCTCAGAAGATTGACTACTTGAAAGACAAAGTTCAAACATCATTTGTAAAGGATCGTAGAGCTATGAAGGTGAGATTATTGTAAATGTGTTCTTATTTGCACTGAATTCTTAACATAATTAAATTTGACCTTTTTACTCTTTCCTCTTCTCTAATTCTCTTGCAGAGAGAATATGAAGAATTTAAAGTCCGTGTTAATGGGCTTGTTGCAAAGGCACAAAAAGTTCCTGAGGAAGGATGGATTATGCAAGATGGTACCCCATGGCCAGGAAATAACACCAGAGACCATCCTGGAATGATCCAGGTAACAAAAAATTTCTATTCATTATGGTTTGATTAATTTGTAAATATGTATCTTTCATGCGAAATTGATTATTCTGTTGTCACCTAATTGTGTCAAAGCACACACAATAGACTTCTCACGTTGGGAGGTTAGAAAAAAGGGGGGGGTGGGGGCGGAGGTAAGACGTCATTATTCTGTCTTATATATTGCATTTCCTCACACTCAGCTGTATTCCAATATTTTGGCATGTTTGGTTTGCATCACGTTGGCTGAGGGGAGTTGAATCCCTAACTCATTGCTTGCAGGTCCTGTTACTACAATGCCATTAAGTGTCTGATTATTTTGTTTCAGGTTTTCTTAGGCCAAAATGGAGGTCTTGATGCTGAGGGTAATGAGCTGCCACGGCTAGTTTATGTTTCTCGTGAAAAGCGTCCAGGCTTTCAACACCACAAGAAAGCTGGTGCAATGAATGCACTTGTAAGTATATTCATATAAAAGTAGGATATTATTTTCTTTTCCCCAGGCTCATCTCACATTTGGTGGCGCTTGCAACTCTTGCAGGTCAGAGTTTCAGCTGTTCTTACTAATGGACCTTTCCTGCTGAATCTTGATTGTGATCACTACATAAACAACAGCAAAGCTTTGAGGGAAGCTATGTGTTTCATGATGGATCCCAATCTTGGAAAACATGTCTGTTATGTTCAGTTTCCCCAGAGATTTGATGGTATTGATAGGAATGATCGATATGCCAATCGCAACACTGTTTTCTTTGATGTAAGTTCTTCATACCTTTTTCAAAGTAATAAATTCTTTTATATGATGTCATGCAATGATTTATTAGTGCCTCGCTGCAACACGTTTGCTATGGCATAATGAATAATAAAAAAATGCTGCAGATAATTGCTTTATTTTGCTTCATTATTTATAATGTATAACTACCTTTTAAAATTCAGATAAACTTGAGGGGTTTGGATGGTATTCAAGGCCCTGTTTATGTGGGTACTGGATGTGTCTTCAATAGAACAGCCTTGTATGGCTATGAACCTCCTCTTAAACCCAAGCATAAGAAACCTGGGTTTCTATCTTCTCTCTGTGGTGGATCACGAAAGAAGAGTTCAACAGCCTTGTATGGCTATGAACCTCCTCTTAAACCCAAGCATAAGAAACCTGGGTTTCTATCTTCTCTCTGTGGTGGATCACGAAAGAAGAGTTCAAACTCAAGTAAAAAGGGTTCAGACAAAAAGAAATCTGGAAAGAATGTTGATCCCACTGTGCCAATTTTCAGCCTGGAAGATATAGAAGAGGGGGTTGAAGGTATGTTTACTTTTACAGTTTGTAATATTTAACATCTAAACTTGTCATAGCAACATTATGGTCAAATTTTTTATATGACTGCAAGATTAATGTCTACTTTGCAATTCTGTAAGCAATATATATATTTTTTTATAGCAATGGTCATGTCTGGGTAGCATGAATTGATTCATTGATGAAAGGTGGAGTTCCATTAGAGATTACTTAGATATTCCCTTGCACATTGTAAATTCAGGTGCTGGATTTGATGATGAGAAGTCACTACTAATGTCACAAATGAGCCTGGAAAAAAGGTTTGGCCAGTCTGCTGTTTTTGTTGCTTCCACACTAATGGAGAATGGTGGTGTTCCTCAGTCTGCAACACCAGAGACTCTTCTTAAAGAGGCTATTCATGTTATCAGCTGTGGGTATGAGGACAAAACAGATTGGGGAAGCGAGGTATGCTGATTTCTTTGAACTGAAGCAAGTACTAGGTGCTTGTCACAGTGAATCAAATTAGTATATGCTCTAATGCTTTTGAAGGATTATTCATCTTTAAAATCAGGCTGTAGTTGTTTGCTTTGCTCTATGGTTCTTCATAGTGGTATTAATGTTTATCTCTTGACCTGTAGATTGGATGGATCTATGGTTCTGTTACAGAAGATATTCTTACTGGATTTAAGATGCATGCCCGTGGTTGGCGGTCAATTTACTGCATGCCCAAGTCTCAGTTTTAAAGAGTCTAATCCGATTAATCTTTCAGATTGTTTGAACCAAGTGCTTTGTTGGACTTTGAGTTTAGTAGAGATTCTTTTCAGTCGGCATTGTCCAATTTGGTATGGTTATGGTGGTAGACTGAAATGGCTAGAGAGGTTCGCATATATAAACACTACAATTTATCCCATCACAGCCATTCCTCTTCTCATGTACTGCACACTCCCAGCTGTCTGTCTACTTACAAACAAGTTCATTATTCCACAGGTTAGTAAACAGTATCCGTTGATAGACTATTTAACATTACTGTTTGAGCTACCGCTGAAAATGTTGATCCGAGGTTGCTAATATTCATTTTTAAGGGTGAAATTCATATATATATATTTTTTTAATCATAAAAGCATCAAAACAGTAAACTATTCTCCTGAACTGCTTTTTCCAGCATTCAAATGATATGTTTTCTGAAAAACAGTTTCAACATCAATGTAAGACACGATATTAATCTTGCATCATTAGAATATATTAAATTTCATTTGTTTGTCTTGTTCTCTTTGCAGATTAGTAACCTTGCAAGTATATGGTTTATATCTCTCTTTCTTTCCATCTTTGCAACTGGTATTTTGGAAATGAGATGGAGCGGTGTCGGAATTGATGAATGGTGGAGAAATGAACAGTTTTGGGTCATCGGAGGAGTTTCAGCCCATCTTTTTGCTGTTTTCCAAGGTCTGCTTAAAGTACTTGCTGGCATTGACACCAATTTCACCGTCACCTCCAAGGCATCGGACGAGGATGGAGACTTTGCCGAACTTTACATGTTCAAATGGACAACTCTTTTAATCCCACCAACCACTCTCCTCATCGTTAACATAGTAGGCGTCGTTGCCGGAATATCCTATGCTATTAACAGTGGTTATCAATCATGGGGTCCTCTTTTCGGCAAGCTTTTCTTCGCCTTCTGGGTGATTGTCCATCTTTATCCATTCCTTAAAGGTTTGATGGGTCGCCAGAACCGAACACCGACCATTGTCGTTGTCTGGTCTATTCTCCTTGCTTCCATTTTCTCTCTCTTATGGGTAAGAGTTGATCCATTCACTACAAGCGTAACAGGTCCTGATGTGCAGCAATGTGGAATCAACTGTTAAAAGAGAAAATCTGAAACTTCCACAAAGGAAGTGAAGTTGTTATGCAAATCTTGCATTTTTTTTTTTTTTTGTGATCTTTTGGTCTGTGAATTTACATCTCTGTGCAGATTATAGGTGGTCATATTAAATTAAATTATATTGTTGTTCCATGAGTGATCAAAACTGTACTATTGTGGATATATGAAGTTATGGATAGTACTTAATCTAGTGGAACAAAGATTCTATTTATTCTGTAACTTTACATGTTCACAAGCAAATCTTCTTCTACATTATATACTCTATGGAAACTAATTTGTACCGGAAGTTCTTTGGTCCAGATTAATTTACAGGTTTTTGTGAGAGACTAGCACACGAGAAATTCACGGGCATCTGATTTGTGGAATTTTTAGCAATTTTATAAATTTATGGTGATTTTATATAAAATTATCGCGATTAAACATAAAATTGTCAACTTTTGACTTTTTATAAGAGTTAAAGAAATTGAATCATTCAATTTTATAAAAAATAAGAAGAATCAATTAATTTACTAACGTCAAACGCTGACAAATAAGTTCTAACTAAGTACCTGAATTTTAGACAGCTTATCTGCACCGTACACGTATATATTATCAAAACAAACGGCCAGGATTCAAAATCTAGATCTCCATCTTTGATGTTCTCTTAATCCAAGAAACAGAAAAACTCAACTATATAATCCAACAAAAAACAGAAAACTCGATTATATAACCCCTTTGTATTGCATGCGAGCGGACGACGTGTCAACACAGTATTACCTGCATACATCATCATTGTCCTTATCATCATCTTCCTCGTCCTGATATTGCCACGTGTAAAACGAAAAGACAAACACTTACCTTAGATGTTGGAAACGTGTCAATGTTAGACAATTCCTATATATAAGAACAGATTGAGTTTTGTAACTACTACATTCGATCCAATCCTTAAAAAAAGAAAGAAAGAAAAGTGAAAATCAGTTGAATTTTCCGGCGAAAGAATTAGCAATGGCGGTCATCGCTGAAGAGCCCATTCTGTCTAGATTGGGCCGTGTGGATAATATGGTATGATCTTTTTGTGTGTTTGCACTCTTTTGAGTGACAATTCTTGACACGTGTATTAGGTTTTTTTTTTTCAATATTCTTTTTTTTTTTAGCTTTTTTAAAGGTAAATTTAGGCCTCTTGATCTGTTTGCTGAAAAGGGGAAAAAGAAAAGTTAGGTTCTTTTTCGTGAGCTCAAACTAATTTAATGGAATATAATATAATTAAAGAAATTAAAAATAATAAAAAAAAATTTAAAAATAATAAAAATTATCGTGTTTCGTGACATTTATACATGTGATGAACAGTTGAGGCAACTAGAAGAAATTAGAGGAAGCAGCAACAGGTCTCCAAAGAGCTCGATTGCATCTACTCCATCAAGTGGGACACTTACAAGTGAAGGTCAAGTATCATCCATTGATTTTTCTCCAAAATGTCTAGAGAAGCACTGCCGTCCGATCAACCGTGTGATGACTGAGACTGAAATCAAAGGCACTCTCATTGAGAGGCTTGATCAGGCAGAGGAACGTTTACTTAAGGTAAGGAAAAAACAATTATGATTGGAAATTTGAAATAATTATAGCCGTTTGATTTAATGACTTTTTATTTATTTGGTATGCTAATTTATTGTATCAGCTGTGTATTCAGTTGGAGGAAGAGCTTGTGACTGAGAGGAAGGAGGAACAGAAGAAGATTGAGAAAAAGGAGAAGAAAGGTCTAAAAGGATTTGTTAAGAAAGTGGTTAAAGGAGGACAAAAGAAAATTAAAACAAAGGAGTAGTGTGTTGTTTCTTTACCTTTTCTTTATTCTCTTTTTTTTTTTTTTTTTAATCTTTTAAGTTTTATAACTTTTAACAGTATGTAAATAATTTTATTTAGTGTTTTTTTATTTACGATATAATTTATAATGGATAATATAATAAACTCTTTTGTTCACTTTATTAAAAATAAAATAATTATTTAAATATACAGAATATATATGGTATACAGCTATCATTCCAAGAGGAAAGAGAGAGAATGTGAATGAGAAATTGTGCATGGATGCTTGAAACGACATATTAACTCTGTTGTCGTTTGTGTGGACTCTTATTATAGTAGCGGGCGACGTCGTGGATTTATTTGCTTATTAATGCATAAGATTAAGAGCTATGTCGTTTGTTGGTGGAACAATTACGTGTATTCAATCATGCATGTGACTCAGATAATTGTTTTTCTCCGTTTTTTCAACAATGTTTCTGATTTTCCATAATTTTCTTGGCATCAAAATAATTTCTAAATGAAATGACAAATTTATATATATATATATATATAGTCAATTCTTGTCTAGACTTTTTTCTACATGTAACGTGTAATGTAGTACTAATCCTTCTAAGTTCCAAATGGAAGGTACCATGCAAGAAAGTATTTTATTTAGAAAAAAAAAAAAATTTTCTTTATTTTTGGAAAAAGGAAAGACTTTAATAAATTGTCTTTATACATAGTTAAATTTAATTTGATATTAAATGATAATTAGAATGACAAGTATTATATTTTGATTATACGAGAAAAAAAATAAGTGGAGGAACAATATATTACGCTTTTCAAGAATCGAAATCGTAATTATCATTCTTCAAGAAATTGGAATCGTTTATCGTTTCATTTCTATCATTTCTTGGGGGATTACTTATCATTTGAATCCACATTTCATTGATAGATTATTTATTGTTTTAATCATAGCTATAATTTCAATTATTCTGCAAATCTTACGGTGGAGATCATTCCACATGGTAAGGTTCATGTCCATAGCTATCTCTGTGCTGTGCATGGGACCTCTCTACTTGATGGTGAGTGCTATTCCAATGGAAACAGAAACTGTACTGGTTCTCGTCGACCAAGATAATACCATTAATTTTCTACAGACCAAGACCACTGAGTTTCTAATCTTCTATAAGAAGAGGGACAAAGAAACTGTTGAAGAAGAAGAATCATCTTTTTAAACCAAAATTAATAGGTCAATTGATCTCATAATAGTCTGTGCATTCAATCTAGGCATGCCAGGTGTAGGGTGATAAGGGTATAGACAACTTGTTTTTCAACATCAACTATCTATCGTTTATTTTGATTTTTCTAATATTGATTTTAGAAATTTTTGATAATACCATAAAAAAAAAAAGTCTTCAATTTAGTCGATCAGGTATATGCGTTCTTTAGACACAATTAGTTGTCACGCAACGTTTAACATTTTGACTAGGGTTAAAATGCCATCTTTATTATTTATAATGTTTAGCGATGAAATTTTATACAGTATTTAGAGTTTAAAATAACAGACTACGAAGCATTTTTAACATTTGATGAAACTCTAGCAACGTAACAGACAATTATTAAGATAATTAATAATTATTAAAACAGTTAATTTTACCGAATATGATCAAAATTTAGTTGATATTTCACTTTCAATATATAAAGAATGTAAGATCTCATATTCGAATTCTTTTCACCATAAAAATTTCTATCAATTCAATGAATTTGATTCAATAATATCTAAATCTCTGATGTTCAAAACTATATTGGAAAAGAAATAATTTTATCTTTAATATAACAAAAATTATACATATGTTTTTGAATATAATGCAATGCACCAAAACCGATTAGACAATGAAAGAAAATGGTTAGACCCACATGGGATTGATTCCCATTATGGGAACTAAAAGAGCCTCTGAAGTGTCTATGCAGTATTTTGATGCCAAGTGTGAGGACAATAGACAAAAATAGAAGGTAATATCATGGTGTTTAGGTCCACATTGGACTGGTTCCCATTAGAGGGAGCTAAATGAACAGTCCAAAAAATTGTGTCACTGTCAAGAAGACGATGAAATACAATGGTAGTGGGTTTTTCTGATTGATTTGAGAGGCGCATCTTCATATGGCTCATCACCAAGGAATGCTTTTCAAAATGGGTCCAAATGGGTTTTTGTTTGCTAATCTCTATCTATATCAAACTTAGCTTCTTTCGAAGGTAGTTGAGATGGAGTTTTCAAAGAGATAAGAGAAAAAATAGAAACCCTAGCTTAGCTATATTGGTGTGTTTTCTACAATGTGAGGGCCTGCATTTATATCCTTTTTTGTTTGTATGCCTATGTGATTGAACATGGGAGATGTTTCTTTCAATTTTGTTTATCTAATGAGCTTGAAAATGAAAGAATGTGGCAAATCTTGATTCAATTTGTAATTTCGATCCAAATTTATTTATTCAAATTCAATCTGTAATCAGTTCGAATTATTATTTAATTTGAAATTATCCTAATTTGATGAAGAATAATTCAACTAAATTGTTGATCGATTTTCAAAACTTGACTTGTTAAAATAAATTTAGAAGTAAATCGTTTAATCTGATATAAAATAATAAATATATATTAATAACACGAAGAATTTAACAACTATATATGTTAATTATATATGTAACTTTTATTAATTATTTTACTTTATTGTTATTTATTTATTTTTTATTTTCAACTAACTTTGAAAGTATTTATGTTAAATTATTTTTAATATATTTTTTGTCATTAAAAATATAATAGTGATGATAATCCAATATGACTTGATTTAATTTAGGTTGAGATATGTAACATTAATTTGACATGGACTTGAGATCACTTTGTAGTTCAACTTGATGGTAACCTAATTCAAATGCAACTCATTGAAATTGCTCAAAATAATATTTGACTTGAAGCAATAGTATATATATAATTATTATTTAATTTAATAAATTTATTAATTTGATGTCCCTCTCATCCTTTTAGACAATGAGAGCTCTCTATTTATTTTAAAAAATAATTATTATGTTAAGGCTCTAATTATCATAAATTATAAAAGAAGGACAATCATTAATAATCATTTGATTTAATAAATTCATTAATTTGATATCCCTCCGACCTCTTGAAGTCAATTATACACTCTGGCTTCTAATTATTATAAATATAATAGTATAGAAGGAAGGTATTCTTGGATTTTTACTCAAGGTTGATATATGCTTATTAACTGGCCTATTAGCTCAGTTGGTTAGAGCGTCGTGCTAATAACGCGAAGGTCGCAGGTTCGAGACCTGCATGGGCCATAAATTTTTCATTTTTTTTTTCACTTTCAATTAATTTCCATTTTCTATATCTTTTTAAATTTTTTTCATCAATTAAGTTGAAAGATTATCAGCATTAATTTCTAGCAAGAAATTTCAAAAAGAAAAGGAGAAAAAAGAGGAAATTCTTTTATGGATGGTGGACTAAAGAACAAAGAAAATTTGTGAGATTCAATTCTCAACATTATTATTAATTATCCAAATTTACTAATTTTTTATCTAATTTTCAATTTTGTGGTCTAGTTTATTTTGTCTCAACACATTTATTTATTTATTTTTTTGGTTCCCATCACATAAGTCATTTTCTCATTACATCTTCTTCCATGAAGAAGGTAAAGGAAGCTTTGTGATAGGAAAGATACCTAACAGACAGTTTTTTTGTTGCAGAAATATTAATTAACATTTTATTTATTTTTTTGGTTCCCATTCACATAAGTCATTTTCCCTCATTAACATCTTCTTACATGAAGAAGGTAAAGGATAAGCTTTGGATAAGGAAAAGATACCTAAACAACATTTTTTTTGTTGCAGGAAATATTAATTAACATTTTTATTATATCCAACATGTGGGGCATGAAATGAAAGAAAAAAAAAAAAAAAAAAAAAGAAATATATCATATAACTAGAATTATATTTATAGAACAAATACATTGAAAATACCACTTAAATCCAATTTTGAGCACAGGAAATGGTGAGTGTGATGAATATAAAATTCCATATATTAATTGTATATATTATCTTGTTTCTCATGGGATAACACACTTGTTTTTATTATATAATCTTCTCAACCCAATGTTATATATATTAATAAAAAAATTATACTAAATGATTATTGGTGATCACCAGTTGATTGGATCAGCGAAAATAGATTGTAGTCCGATGTAAATTTTATTTGTAAAATGAGTGGCTTGAAGTCTGAAATATTAATTATTGAGAGTCTGGTTTGGATATTACCTTATTTCAAATGTTAATATTGATATAGATTTAAAAAATAATAATTATTCAGTGACATGACAAGTGTGAAATAAATTTATAAAATTTAAAAGAATGAAATGTATCTAAAATATGAAATATTTTAATGCAACTAGGAGATTTTTTTTTTATATGAAAAATGTATATATCATTAAATATTATTATAACAATTGAAGCCTTATATTGGTTTCATATACATATATATATATATATATATATAATATATATATATATATATATATAATCCCTTATTACCACATCATATGCTATTCTATTAAAATTTAATAGATTCTTGAAAATGATTTTTTTGTGTACAACTTAAATGAATAATAAATACAAAATAGAATAATAGTCATACCATCAACTTTTATTTTGTCTTAAATTATCAAAGTGGAGGGAATAAGTAATATCAAAATTAGATAAGGTGAGATCATATTATTCTTTTTAAATGAGGTAACATTTTGTTGATTTTTGTTTTTTTTTTTTTGGGTTAATTTTCTTTCTAATTTAAATATTAATTACTTCTAATTTATTGACATTAAATGTTAAACATTAAGTTAAACTTTATTAAATATAATTCTTAAATTTAATTATTCAATTAATGAAATATTAACAAATTTTCTTTTTTTTAATATCGTGGAATGGGTTACACTATTCTTTTTAAATATACTAATACAACAATAATTACATATAATATATGTAGTAACATGCGTATGAACCAACCAATAATAATAATACTTAAAAAAAAAACAGCCAACACCTTATTTTAATTATAATTAATCTATTTAATTAATAAGTATTAAGTTTATTGTTTATCTTAACAGAAAAATTCTATCCAAAACCTCATTAAAAAAAAAAAATGAAAGAAGAAACTTGCAAATAAAAATAGGGAAAAGTACACTTTGGTGTTTAAATTATATCCTAATTAACAATTTTGTCTCTTTATTTTCGAGAAATTATTGTGAGTCCCTAACTTTTGTTTTAAGCTAACTATTAAATCCTTTTATCCAAAAAATAAGTTATTTATCATTAGTCAGATCCACGATTAGATGAAATACGTTCACTTTTTCAACAAAAAATGCTTAATTTTTTTACGGAAAGATATGATAATGAATTTAAAGTAAAAGTTAGAAATATCATAATAATTTCTTAAAAATAGATGGACAGAAGTGTTAATTATGATATAATTTAGAGATTGAGATATATTTTACCTTTAAAAATATAGACGGTTGTTCTATTTTTCTCTTTTCTTCAAAGAAAAAAAAAAAAAAGGAAATACTTAGAAGTTTGTTATACCAAACTACAATACTTTTCATAAGAGCATGTTTCATTTTATGTCCATATCTCCAAAGTTCACAAAATTGCAACATTGAACTACACTACTTTGCCTAACCCAATTACATATCATTTGCAATTTGCAAACTTTAACCAAATCAACTTAATAAAAAGCTAAGTATTATTAATTTTAAGTGTTGAAAACAACTTTAACCACCCAACCTTGTCTTTTAGTTAAATATATTAAAGTGGATAACTCACTAACTCTTAATTATGGGAATTTTTGGGTGGGAAAAGGTTAAGGCAATAACAATATGCTTAGTTGCCATCTCCTCCATATATATTCTCCTCACATATATATATATATATATATATATATATATATATATATATATTGTTTGGACATAAATCCTTTGTTTTTTATAATGCTAAAGCATAGAAGGACAATCTATTAGGCCTTATGATTATAAACAAAAAACCAAAAAAACCCCCAAAAAAAAAAAAAACCCAAAAAAAAAAAAAAAAAAAAAAAAAAAAAAAAAAAAAAAAAAAAAAAAAAAAAAAAAAAAAAAAAGAAAAAAAAAATTGCAAGTATTTTGCACAAATTTTGATTTTGGCTTGAATCCAATGATTTGAGCAAAGAATAAATTCTCTATAAACAGAAAATATCAACTTGGCTATTTCATATGTTATGGCGGTTTCGATACTACCTCGACTCACTTATTATATATATATTGTTTTGGACATAAATCCTTTGTTTTTATAATGCTAAAGCATAGAAGACAATCTATTAGGCCTTTATGATATAAACAATGCAAGTATTTGCCAAATTTTTTGGATTTTGGCTTGAATCCAATGATTTGAGCAAAGAATAATTCTCCTATAAACAGAAATATCAACTTGCTATTTCATATGTTATGGCGGTTTCGATACTACCTCGACTCACTATTAAGTATTTTAATATTTATCAATGGGGTTGATGAACTGATTTGTACTGTATTTTTAGACGAATTTTATATGTAAGATTAAGAGTTTGTGATTCACTACGGATAAAAGCTCACTAATCATTTTAAAATGTAGAGTAGGTTTATTTTTTATTTGTTTTTCTTTTGTAATTTTCAATTTAAATGATAAAGTAGAATAGTTATTGATTAGGTGATATATCTGATTATTGATATAAGAGTTGAAAAGTTTTGAATTTGAGTCCTTTTGAATTATTGATATTTTTATTAATTTAGTGAATTTGAGGAATAACTATTCCTGTTATATAAATCCATAATGTTATTACAGCTAACAATACTATTCTTGTCAATTGATAAAATAGCATATATATGCATTGCTAATTCTATCTTTTAATATATATATATATATATATCCGAAAATAGTTGTATAATGTAATTTTAATTTCATTTAAGGAAACTTAAATTGAAATTTTTGTTGGTAAATGAACAGATAATACAAATTAGAGGGAATATTGTTTTTTAAAATATTAAATCAAAATAAGAAATATCTTATAAAATTATTAAAAAAAATAATTTCGATACTCATAAATTAATAGAAAATAGCTAACAAAAGGAAGTACTTAAAAGGAAAAAACAATAGATTACATTCCTTATCAAATATTTATATCCAAAAATGATAAATATTTTTGGGATTGAAATTAGAAGAAATAAATAAATAAATAAAAGAAAGTGGAAGGACATAATAGCAAAAAAACGAAAGAAATGAAATTTAAATTATGTTCTGCTCTTGGTGCTCCACGCCTTTTTTCCCTCGATTTGACTCCACAATTTAATCAAAATTGACCACTGCCCTGACGTCCGCTTTCTTGTACCTCTTCCATTGGCGGATTCCAAATCCCAATTTCAATCCACTTTCATAACTCCTTTTCAATTCCGCATTCCCTTTAACCGGTTACCCCACCCTTGACTTTCCTTACCAAACCGGTCATCCACCGCCTCGTCACTCACCGGCCTAATCGGTCTCCCTCTACTTCATTAAAAGCAACTCCCTCGAATTTGACTCGCATTTCAACTTTCATTTGGTGTGCATTTCAATATCATTTCCTTTCCATTTCATGCTCTTCTTTCTTCTCTCTCTCTCCTGTATCTCTGCGATTAAATTTAAATTCGCCCCAAATTTTCTTGCATTTCATTTCCATTTCAATTTCGAGACGTTACTCTGTTTTTCACTCTTCTCGCTTTCTTCTCTCTCTCTTTTCCTCTCCAAGTTCCTCTCTTTCTTCGTTTCTCTCTTTGGTCTCATCGATGATGGAGATAGAAGCTACAAGAAGCTCTCTGTATCTGAATTTTTTTTATCTTACACTACAGCCTGTATCAGCTTTTGATCTTTTTGTTCTAGATCAAGTATGAGTAGAAGCTTATAGCGTTGGATCTGTTATTTTATGAGTTAAATAAGCTGTTCTTCGCGTCAAATTCGATAATCGGTGAGTTGCTATTTTTTTAGATTGGTTTACGACTGTGCATTGACCTTTCATTTTTCTGTATTTTAGTGTAAAACTATGATCGGTAGCTTAGTTTAGCTATGAATTAGCTGATTTGCTTGTTTTTATTTCTATTTTGAACTGGAATTAATATATTTTTTATTATCTCAGTGGAATTTGAACTGGGTTTTTTAGTTGATTATTTTTTGTTATTGTGATATTTAGCTCATTGTTGAATTACTGTATTGGTTGTGATTGTTGTTCCTTTTAGTCCTTGTTTGCTGGATATTTTAACAATTTTAATTTGTTTTCCTGATTGAATGCGCCAAGGAAATAAAAGATTTTATGAAACTGTTTGATCTTGGTTATTCTATTAATTCCTAATTTTATACTTATATTGCTTTATATTTTTCAAAGATTGGATTGGGTGTGAAGCTTTGATCTTTTGTTATTTTCGAACTTTTTTATTGATTAATACAGTGATAATTGGATTTCCCCCTTTTTGTTTTCAGGGATTCTCTTTAAATCTCTTAAGATATTATTCCTGCACAATCTTGATGCTAGATTCTTGTCTTATTCTTTACTATCATATCAAAAATTCCTCTTCTTGAGATAAGAATCTTAGCTTGTGTTATTTTTGCTCTAGGGTAGTGGTTAATTTGGATGATTCTTGATTGTGACCAGATCTATTACTTGACACAGGCAAATATTCCTTTTCTTCATTGTGTTCTAAACTCGTTTATTTTAGGTTTTAATCCTTTTTGTTTTTCAGATCATTCTACTTTGTTAGGGTCTTTTTTATTTTGGTTTATTTTTGGTATGAGATTATTCTTTTTAGTTATTATTTTGAGTTGATGTCTATATCCGGGAATTTTGCTGTATGCCAGCAGATTTAGTTTGAAATTTTTTTTTTTCTATTTATGCTAGAAATTTGGTATTCCGCTCCTTATAAATTTTATACGTTTCTAAACCCATTTCGTAGGAAACTGGAATGGTTTGTAATTCAAATCTAAAACAATTGAGAGCTTGTTCATTTTTTTTTTCCAGTTCATTATTTGGAAGTATTGCTTACTGGTTTGAGTTCTCCAAACTGTTTTCACTTTACCAGGAATCATGCAAATTGTTCTATATGATCGCTTTGATTGTGCAGAATATTTAAATATGATGGTAAAGTTCAGTTTTTGAATGTCTTCTGATATTTTTTGTTTGAATTTCCAGCTAATTGAAGCATCTGTGGATCCCTGGAGAGATTGGAAAAATCATCATCTGTTCCGACTGCATCTAGTATAGAAACTAAACCTAAACCAAAAACATGAATCATCTAACTGTTGAGACTGAGGATTCTTTTTCTAGTTTACTTGAATTTGCTGCTAACAATGATGTTGAAGGCTTTAAGCACTTGATTGAGCGGGATGCTTCCTCTATTGATGAGGTTGGGTACTGGTATGGTCGCCAAAAGGGATCTAAGAATATTGTTCTTGACCACCGAACTCCACTAATGGTTGCTGCTACATATGGCAGTCTTGATGTTCTTAAGTTTATACTCACTCACACAGATGCAGATGTTAATCTCTTATGTGGGATGGACAAAACCACTGCACTTCATTGCGCCGCTTCTGGTGGATCGAAAAATGCTGTTGAAGCTGTTAAGTTGCTTTTATCGGCAGGTGCTGATCTAAATTGCCTGGATGCTAGTGGCTATCGTCCTGTTGATGTTATTGTTGTTCCTCCAAAGCTATATGGCATGAGGGGCACACTTAAAGATCTTCTATCAAACAGCGTTTCCAATGGTTCATTAGCTGAGAATAATTGCAATGGTTCTGTTGGAGAGCCCAATTGTAATGGTTCTGTTGGAAAACACACCTCTAATGGCTCTGCTGGAGAATGCAATTTACGGGTGTCAATAAGTACTTCTAGTACTAGCTCACCAACCCTTTCATCTTCCCCTGAAAATGGTTCACCACCTTCTCCTTCTGTGTTGGTATCTTCTCCATTGGCCTCTAAGTACAATGATATGCCATCAAGCACAACATCTGAGAAGAAAGAATATCCAATTGATCCATCGCTCCCTGACATCAAGAACAGCATCTATGCAACAGATGAGTTTCGCATGTATTCATTCAAGGTCCGCCCATGTTCTCGAGCATACTCTCATGACTGGACTGAGTGCCCTTTTGTTCACCCTGGAGAGAATGCACGAAGAAGAGACCCACGGAAGTTCCACTACAGCTGTGTGCCTTGCCCTGATTTCCGTAAAGGAGCCTGCCGGCGTGGGGATATGTGTGAATATGCTCATGGGGTTTTTGAGTGTTGGTTGCACCCAGCTCAATACAGAACAAGGCTTTGCAAGGATGGCACTAGTTGCAATAGACGGGTCTGCTTTTTTGCCCATACACCTGAGGAGCTCAGGCCCTTGTATGTCTCTACAGGATCTGCTGTTCCTTCTCCACGCACTTCTGCATCTGCAGCTAGTGTCATGGACATGGCTGCTGCTTTGAGCCTATTGCCTGGTTCGCCATCGTCAGTCTCTGCCATGTCTCCTAGTCCATTTAATCAACCAATGTCTCCTACAGCGAGCAGCATTTCCCACTCATCTCTTGCATGGCCACAGCCAAACGTACCGACACTCCATCTTCCAGCAAGCAATCTTCAATCAAGTCGCTTGAGATCGTCACTTAGTGCCCGCGATATCCCACCTGAGGATCTTAATTTGTTGTCGGATTTTGATGCCCAGCAACAAATTTTAAATGATTTAACATGTTTTTCACAGTCACGTAACAATTCTGCATCTTTAAATCGTTCTGGTCGTTCTAAAACACTAACTCCTTCAAACCTCGAAGAACTCTTTTCTGCTGAGATCTCTTCTCCTCGATACTCTGATCAAGCAGCTGCAGTGTTCTCTCCTACACATAAATCAGCTGTTCTCAATCAATTCCAGCAGCAGCAGAGCATGTTATCTCCAATCAATACAAGTGTTTTCTCCCCAAAAAATGTTGATCACCCTCTACTCCAGGCTTCATTTGGTATGGGATCTCCTGGAAGGATGTCACCAAGAAGTGTAGAGCCTATCTCTCCAATGGGCTCTCGTCTCTCTGCATTTGTCCAGCGGGAGAAGCAGCACCAACAACTTCGGAGCCTTAGTTCAAGGGATCTCGGATCAAACAATCCTGCAGCCTCCATTGTTGAGTCTCCAGTGAATTCTTGGACTAAGTGGGGCTCACCAAATGGGAAGTTAGATTGGTCCATTAATGGCGGAGATGAACTAGGCCACTTACGAAGGTCATCATCATTTGAGCTTGGTAACAATGGGGAGGAGCCAGACCTGTCATGGGTCCAATCTCTGGTTAAAGAATCACCTCCTGAGATGTTGAAAGAGAAGTTTGGTGTACCAGTTTCTGGTGCAGCATCATCCGGTGAGGGATTAAATCCTAGTTCTCAAATTGATTCTGTTTTGGAATCTTGGCTCGAGCAGATGCAGATTGATCAGCAGCAACAGCTTGTAGTCTAGTGAAAATGATTCATTTTTACTCATCAAGATAGGTTAAACTATTTTCTTGAAGGTACATATTTTTTTGTGGGGTTTTGGCTCCTGGGAAAGTAAAGTTCGGAAGGTTAACATTAGTAAACGGCGCGCAAGGAGCTGGGGTAAAGAATTGGCTTAAAGTTTCAGAGATATTATTCAATTTTTTGCCATTTATTTTTAAATCAAGATGAGAAGGATGAAGCCTTTCTGGGCTAATGCTAATGAAACCAGTCCAGGTTAGGTCTCTATCTTCTCAGATGTTTCTGTTTCTAGGATCAATTTTTTTTTTTCACTGTTAATTCCTTGAAGGGGAAGCTTTAGCTACATGTTTCATTTTGCAATGAAACCATGAGTTGTATTATTTGATAGTCTCTCTTTTTCAAATTTGTCCATTTTCTGGATTTGTTTTTAATGTTGTTGGATAAAGAAAAGAAGGGGAAGTGGAGAGGTAATTCTTTACTGATCTTGAAGGGATGATGATTGATGATGTGTTCCATTGAGAATGCATTATGGTGGGTGGGGGAACAGATAATGAGGAGCCATTACTTTTCTTTTGATGATGTAAAACTGAACTAAAAAAGTTTATTAAATTCTATACCTTTTATTTTTTATGTTTTTTGGTTTTTGCCTTAGTCTTTACGTTTATGTTATGACATCTCCATTTGCTTTTGCCTTGGTCTTATTTCACTCCTCTCTTTCTCTCTCTTTTGCTCTGTTTTTGTGGTGTTCTTTATTGTTTGTGGGATTTAAGAAAGAAAGAATAGTACAAGTTCATGATGTGGTGGAACCCACTAATTAACGTTGTTGATTGGTTTGAAGTTTATTTATTTTTGGATTCTTGCTACTTTCATTGAGAATATCATCAAATGGTGAGATTGTGATGGGTTTGGACAGATTTTTTTTTTTTCTTGAATAAGTAACGTGGAGCTTACTTTGTAAAGATAAGAGGAGGGGCCTGTTGCAGGAAGATGGAGCCATTTACCTTCTTTGTTGCCAACCACTCACCCCAAAAAGGGAGGGTGGGTGGGTGGGTGGGTGGGTCTTTATTAGAGAGAGAGAGAGAGTTGATAGATGGAGCAGAAATGGATGAGTTCCTACTTTGTTTTAATTGATAGTGAGTTTTGTGGGGCTTGTGTTGGGACTTTCTGGAGCTTTTTTTGCCTTTGATGGTTGTTTAAGAACTTAGATTACTTCAATTTGAAGTGGGTTTTTATTTTTTTGGGGTCTAAAAGAAACATCAATGTTATCATTTAACCACAAATATCATTTGAGTGCTTCTTAGGGTACCTTTTTTAAGGCTCAAACCTTGCTTATGAGTTCTTTAATGTGCTTCTTTTGGATAAGCATGTTATTATTTCTTTACTTGAATGTTTGGCTATTATGCCTACTACTTTTTTTCTCTCTTTTATTTGCATGCCTTGACTTATAATAAAATTTTTGGATGCTGTTTGATTAAGCAATTGGATTCAGTCTTTGGAAGTAATCTAAAAAAATAAAAATAAAATTATTCCTTTATTTCTGTTTTTTTGTCTTGGTTTTACTTGTTTGAGGTCTCAAAGTCTTGCAGCCATGGCAAGTCTTTGAAATCCTATTTCAATATGGTTCTTGATTTAAAATTTTATAACAGTTTAGTCCTTGTCATAAAGTATTATTTAACATTTGCCCTAAAACGTTATAAAAAGTTTTTAAATTACAATTTTAGGTTTAATGTAAAGCAAATTTTTAACTTTTGAAATGTTAAAATGTAAGAGAAGAAAATATTGTTCTATTAAAAGTAAAGGATGAAAATATTGAAATTTAATTATTTTTTAAATGAAATTAAAATTGAGGATCAATTTGTTCATCAATGAGAAAGTGATAGTTTAAGCTTTAATATTTTAAATTGGCTCAAAAGATTAAATTTGATTTTTTTTAAATTATTTGATTTTTCGAAATTATTCTAATTAAAACTAAGGATTAAATCGGCTTAAAAGATTAAATTTGGTCATTTCACTCTTTATAAATAAGTTTAAGTGATAAATTAACCTTTGTTTTAAAAATAAATATTAGCTGATTTAAAATTTTTTTTTGAATGGAAGATGATTTTAAGTTAAATTGTCCCGGATTTATATACAAATGGAAAAATTAAATGGATTAATTATATATAAAAATTATTTTCTGGAATTAATTCAGTTGCTAGGCAAATAAAACATGTGCCTAATCAATATTAAACTGGAAAGTACATTAGTACAATAACATAACTATGGAGAACTGCAGAAAGCAGTATTTATATATTTATTATCTCCAATATACAGAACCAGAAGGAACAGAACAAAAAAATCAAAAAAAAGAAAAAAAAAAAAAGAAAAAGACAAAAATGGACAAGAGAATATTAATATATATAACTACATGGCTGAGAAATTGCTAAACAATCTGTAATTTCCTATGGCAACAACCTCCCTCTGAGAAACTTCCAAGGTCCAGTTCCTGTCCCCATCCTGCAAATGTATTCCTACCTTATTAATCAAATTGTCCAATTTCATTTCAATTTTGTAAAACTATACTTCTATTTCGTATTAAAAAATTTTTCATTTTAATCCTGTAAAACTATACTTATATTTCGTATTAAAAAAAGTTCATTAATACGAAATAGATTATATTTTCAGGTGAATTTTACCTGTGCAGGTAAGAGATTAATAACCTCGGCTCAACCACGGAAAAATATTATTTTATTTTAATTTCTTCTTCCAAATTAATTGAATAAGTGAAAATTACATATTTGTAATTTTGTTTATGCTCTAATATAAGCATCTTCTTGAAGGGAATAAAGAATTCCTGTCACTGTAATTTTTCATTGTTCCAAATAGAATTTGACACTTTGATTTATTTTAAATGAAAAAAGAAAGAAAGAAAGAAAGAATGGAATTAAGAAAATTACCTCCAAACACCAGCAAAGGTACGTAGCCCCATAAAAATGGTTAAAGCAACCCAAATACCAACAAAACCACCAGTTTTGGAGAGAAACAGAATAACTGCAACACTGACAATGGCTACCACAACCTGAAGAGATCAAAGAAATTAATACTTGTAAAGATTCAAAAAGTCCTATAAAGATTCTGCTTTCTTGATATTGTTAAAAAAAATAAAAAGGTAATAAAGAAACTAACCATAGAATATGCAGAATATGCAAAATCTGATGCACCAAAGTTAACACCATCAAAGACAAAGGCTATTGAGTTTATAGGTTGTGTAGCTGCAACAAACTGATGGATAGAAATTTTTTTTAAAAAAAAAATCAGTACAAGTTATTAATACGTGAAGAAAGGAGAAAAATGGAAAAATTTAAGGGTTATGGAGAAATATTTACTGGAATTCCTATGCTGATAATATGAAGAACATGAGGATCTTTCGAAAAAATTCCATCACCAAAGTGCAGACCTGCTGCAACAAAAGCAGCTAGCCCCAGACCAAGAACAAAACTCATCTGCAGATCAAAAACCCATTTTCAGTTTAAGGCCTTTGATTAATTTAACTGAGAAAAAGAAGAATATTAGTACATGGTAGTATTGATTAGCCTACCTGTAAAACCCGGGTTGCAGCGGTTGTTGCTTTCTGATAGTCCTTCTCAGCAAATGCACAAGCAATAATTGCCTAAATGAAATGAGCGAAAAAAAAAAAAAAAAAAATGAGTAATGTGCTAATCAATATATTTTAAACTGGGGGGGAGGGAAAGTACAATTAGCTTGACAAAACATAACAACTAAGCTAATGCAGGGGAGAACTTGCAGGAAAGCAGAAGATTATTTATATATTATATATCCATCCAATAATACTAGGAACCAGAAGGAAACAGTAACAAATCAAAGTTACAAAAAAAAAAAAGAATCAAAAAAATAAAAATTACAGAAAAAGGACCAGAAAATGGACAAGAGAATATTAATATATAGTAGACTACTGGATGGCTGAGAAATTGGCGTAAAACAAATCTGTAATTTTAATCCAGATTATGGCGCATACAAGCCTCCCTCTTGGAAGAAAAGACTAAGTCCAAAGGTCCAGTTCCTGTCCCAACAAATATCCCCTGAATCAAATGTTATTCCTACGCTATAATTTTTAATCCCAAACATTGTTACCAATTTCAAATTTCAATTTCTGTAAAAACTTCTTAAACAAATACTTACTATCTATTTCGATAATTTAAAATGACCATTTTTAACATTTTAATCCTGTAACAACAACGGTATGTTACTTATTTTTACTTTTGTCGTATCCTTTAAAAAAGGATAGTTCAAATATAATAGATAGCTAAAATTTAGATTATATTTTCAGGTTTGAAATTTACCTGGTGCAGGTAAGGAGATTAAATAACCCTCGGAGCTCTCAATTCCCATTGGGAAAAAATTATTAGTAATTTATTCTTTAATTTTCTTCTTCCAAAATTTAATTGAATAAGTTGAAAAATTACCATTTATTAATAGTAAATCTTTATGCTCTGAATATAAGCATCTTCTTGATAGGGAGAGTAAAAGGAATCCTATGTTTCTACTGTAAAATTTTCTCAGTGTGTTTCCCAAATAGAATTGTGGAACACATTTGATTATTTAAATAGTGAAAAAAGAAAAAGAAAAATGTTAAAGAAAGAATGGAATTAAGAAATATGTACCTCCTAGTAAATCGCAGTTAACAAAGAGTAAATCGTAAATTCCCCCATAAAATGGTCTAAAGCAACCCAAGAATACCAACAAAAACCACCAGTTTTGGGAGGAGAGAACAGAATAAGCTAGCAAACAACTGAACAAATGGAAGGCTAACCATCTATACCTAGAACAAGGAGATTCTAAATATGGAAATTAGTAACTTTAGATAAGAAGATTCAAAAAAGTCCTAAATAAAGATTCTGCTCTGTGTCTTGCATATTGTTTAAAAAAGAAAATAAAGAAGGTAATAAGAAAGACTAACGCATAGGAATATGCAGGAAATGCATAATGATCTGATGCACCAAAAGTTAAAACACCAATCAAAAGATCAGAGAGAGAGGGGCTATTGAGTTTAGATACGTGTGTGTTAGTCTTAGTGCAAACAACTGAATTGGTATAGAAATTTTTTTAAAAAAAAGGAAAATCTGGGCTAAAGGTACAATGTTAATGTGTAATACCGGTGTAAAGCAAAGGGAGAAAAAATGGAAGATAAATATAGAGTTATATGCACGATGAGAAAATATTATCTGGTAACAATAATGGCCTGAAAATTCCTAATGATTAGGAATAACAATATTGGAAGAACATGGTTAGCCAGGGATCTATTCCGAAAACCAATTTACCATCACCAAACGTTGCAGACCTGTTCGCGGGCTGCAACAAAAGCAGGCTAGCCCCAGACCAAGAACCACAAACTCATCTTGGGCAGATTCAAAAAACCCATTTTCAGTTGGAGGCCTTTGATTAATTTAACTGCAGAAAAAAGAAGAATATTAGTACATGGTAGTATTGATTAGCCTACCTTGTAAAACCCGGGTTGCAGCGGTTGTTGCCTTTCTGATAGTCCTTCATTCAGCCAAATGCACAAGCATATAATTGCCTAAATGAAATTGAGCGAAAAAAAAAAAAAAAAAAAAAAGAAACACATTATAGTAAATCAAAGAAAAAAATTTGGAAATTGACATTATTTCTTGTGTGCATATTTACAAAGCAAATAAAGTTTCCAGGGCAAAGAACACAGACAGACCAAACAAGCCACCATCCAAGGCAAAAAGAAGGAGTGGATAAAGATGTTAAAAACCGGGAGAAAGGCTAAATGTAGAAAAAGCAGACCCTAAGAACAAATGCAGCACCATAGGGCGTTCGCACCAAAGAAAGGCCTTGGCGAAGCCAACTGATTGCTGCTAATAGTCAGCAGGCAGAAATAATGTTGCTGCTATGACTAACTTTCCAAGTTTGAATAACTACCCTGAAAACCTGCATTCCAATACATAAGTTTTAGAACAATATGCCTGGCTGATGATATAGAATTGGAACGCGCGCAAGGGGAAAGAATTCAGGAGTTTGGAACATAAACTCCTGTTCATTAATTTAAGAAACCGACTAACCATGTGGCTTAAATTCACATCTTAGCACTTGAAAAAAAAAAAAAAAAAAAAGGAACACATTATATAAATCAAGAAAAATTTGGGAAATTGACATTTTCTTCAATTTACCTGTCCAGCAACAGCCAACCCATCAGCAAGAAGTGATGATGTTAACCAAACTTGTAAGCAGACCTGAAATGCAGCCATAGGCGTCGCACCAAGCCTTGCAGCCCTTGATGCTGCTAAAGTCACACAAATTGTTGCTGCTATGACTCTTGCTAATAACAGAAAACCTGCATTCCAATACATAAGTTTTAGAACAATATTGCCTTATAATAGAATTGACAAGAAAAATTCAAGTTGCATACCATTTTTAAGAAACCGACTAAATTGCAAATCTTTAGCACTTGGTGGTAAGAGATCAACCTTTTTCATCAACCTCCACAAGAGGATTAGTGAAATCAAGTACCTACAGAACGATCATTAGTTGGTTAATTATTTAAATATTGAAACTAAATAGTTGCTAGTATTTAAAAAAAAAGAAGCATTACTGGATAATGATACATACTGGGAAAGAACGTGTGCAATGGCTGCACCACTGACTCCCAACCGGCAAGTAAAGATAAATATTGGATCTAAAATTATATTTGTGACATCTCCAGCCACTATTGCATAAAGAACAAACAAAATCAGAAAAGATTTATAAATGAAGCTCATAAAATATTTTTTCTTAAACGAAATTTAGTCTCTCACCAGTTGCATATAAAGGAGTTTTTGTATCTTTAAATCCTCTAAAGACTCCTTGCATTGCAAGAGAAAGGAGAACAAAAAAAAAAAAAAAAAAAAGGAACACATTATATAAATCAAGAAAAATTTGGGAAATTGACATTTTCTTCAATTTACCTGTCCAGCAACAGCCAACCCATCAGCAAGAAGTGATGATGTTAACCAAACTTGTAAGCAGACCTGAAATGCAGCCATAGGCGTCGCACCAAGCCTTGCAGCCCTTGATGCTGCTAAAGTCACACAAATTGTTGCTGCTATGACTCTTGCTAATAACAGAAAACCTGCATTCCAATACATAAGTTTTAGAACAATATTGCCTTATAATAGAATTGACAAGAAAAATTCAAGTTGCATACCATTTTTAAGAAACCGACTAAATTGCAAATCTTTAGCACTTGGTGGTAAGAGATCAACCTTTTTCATCAACCTCCACAAGAGGATTAGTGAAATCAAGTACCTACAGAACGATCATTAGTTGGTTAATTATTTAAATATTGAAACTAAATAGTTGCTAGTATTTAAAAAAAAAGAAGCATTACTGGATAATGATACATACTGGGAAAGAACGTGTGCAATGGCTGCACCACTGACTCCCAACCGGCAAGTAAAGATAAATATTGGATCTAAAATTATATTTGTGACATCTCCAGCCACTATTGCATAAAGAACAAACAAAATCAGAAAAGATTTATAAATGAAGCTCATAAAATATTTTTTCTTAAACGAAATTTAGTCTCTCACCAGTTGCATATAAAGGAGTTTTTGTATCTTTAAATCCTCTAAAGACTCCTTGCATTGCAAGAGAAAGGAGAACTGCAGGAGAACCTAATGCTCTTAATGTCAAATACTTCCTAGCTGGAGTGTGCATAGGAGAATCCTGTCAAATACAAGAGAAGAACTGTCATTTATCTTCACTATATTTTAAAGTTACGAGTTCGAACCACATCATCAGGGCAACAAAAACAATGTTAGATTATTTAGAGACTATTACTTAATGTTAGTGAAACAAATTATTTTTTCTATCAACTTCTTATATATACACATCGAGAACAATAGAAAAATCAAGAATTTGTAGGAAACTAGAAAGTTAACCCAAGCTACTTACAGATTTTACACCCATAATATGCAGAAGAGGCTTTGCACAGAATATGAGGAGTATAGCTTGCACAAGACCAAGGATTCCTCCAACTATAAGTGCTGTTGAGGCTGAAGGTATGTTTCGCTTTCCATTTTTCTTAGTTGGCTTATCGTTGATACTCTTACCATCAGTAAAACTTGGAGACTTGCAAGTAACTGCCTTACAATCTGCAAAAGAAATTGTTCAAAAATGATAAACATTGATCACAGTTTCCTTCCTAATGCATAGAGAGAAATAAAAAATACCATCATTTGGGATCGAATCTTTCTCTTCATCATTGTTTGTTGATGTTCCTTTCTCCAACTTCTCAAGCATTTCATCTTCTGGAATTGGTTCCTTTTCTTCAGTGATTTTAGATGATTTATCCTTCTCTAAGTCTTCTCCTTTCTGTGATTCCTTATTGCTGACCTTTTGAACAGTATCTTCCTCAGCAACAAAAGAAGTTGTTATGCTAACCAATGGGAATATGGTAACTTTTGATGCTTGATTGAATATGGCAATTGCAACTCCTACAGCAGCTATTTCCACAGGTCCTGCATAGAAAAAGAACAAAAATCACCTTTTTTCTATTTTAATCTTTTTCTTCTTTTCTTTGGATAGGCTACATCATGAGATTTCCCCACTTTGTAAGATTTTGAGAGGTTCAACATATGCAAGTAAGTAAATGATATCCGTTACTCAAATTTATAACCTTCCAGTTATAAAGGAGCAACTTTATCCTTGCACAGTAAATAGTTTCTCATATTATCAAATGCTAGTTGTGCTTTGCTTTGAAAATGCAGTTATTTCACAACAGGTTTAGAGGCACATAAATTTCAGAGGTTTCATGAAATCAAACCTAGATGGCCAATAAAAGCAGTGTCAATGAGGGAAGCAATAGGATCAGCAGCCAAAGCCATAGCAGCAGGCACTGCAATCCTTAATATCTCCGAGCCCAGCTCATCCATTTTGAAAATATGTCTGTAATAATATATGTTATAAGCCACATTAATCACTTGTAAGTTATAAAAACATAAAGTCTTTCTCTTTTCTTGATTTCAAGAAAAAATAAATAAAGTTCAGTTCATGCAAAGTAGAGATTATACCTTGCATCTCTAAAGAAAACCAGTAGTGGCATCTTCCATTTTGTCTCAGTTGCACCGTTTTCAGCCATGAAAAAAGATTGAGCTTTGTCACCTACACAAATTCAGGTTACGAATGATCATTAAAGACTCTCAAGAACAACTAAGAATGAAGAAAACCATAAAGAAACAGATAATCAATTTTTCTTTTTTTTTTTTTTTTTTTAAAAGGGTATGGAAATGAGAACATTATAACTCAAGAAACAGTATCAGGAAGAAAAAAAAAAAAAAAAAAAAAAAAAAGGAAGAAAAAAAAAAAAAAAAAAAAAAAAAACAAAAAGCAACCTTTTTTTACTTATGCTATCAAAATGAAAAAAAAAAAAAAAAAAAAAAAAAACAAAAGCAAACCTTTTTTTACTATGATATCAAAATGGAGATAGTTTAAAAGAGATTACAGATGAAAACAATAGGCAATGCTAGTAGCTTGGCCTAAATATATTACAGTTAAAACCTTCCCTAGCTAATTCTTTTAACTCAAAACACTTCAGTGTAATTAACAATGGTAAGTTCTTAGCAAAAGACACCTTCTAGTTCTTTATATATATAGCTTCTGACATCAAACTTCGATCTAAGTATAAAGTGATTATGTTATTTTTAATCCTTAAATTCAATTACTTTGCTTCATTTGTAACCTTTCAACTCTTTTGTCACAGAAAACACGTAATAAGTAATAAGTAAACACAGTGAGTCTAACACATGGTTTACAGAATTTCAGGTGTTTCTGACTTATATTTGCCCGGCGCGAAAAAATCACCTGCTGCTTAAGCTCCAATATTATTTAGCTAAATTAGTTTATTAAATAAAAAATAACTTAATAAATAGTGTTTATTTAGTAAAATTTTAAGTATATTTATCGAAGAATGTGAGCCATCACATCATGCATATACCTTCCTCAGTTTTGTTTTTCCCAGGTAAGAACTGAGCAAGATGATGGTGTGATTCATGTACATACAAACATATGTCTACCTGTTATGAATAATCAATTATAAAAATTATTTAATTTCACAATTATAGAGACTCCATTTATTTAAAGCGAAGAAAATAGCTTGTGATTATATATGGTGATTAGATGAAAGCTGATAGGTGAAATATAAGAATTAAAAACTTTCGTGTAAGGTTAATTAGTAGATTGTCGTTCAGACTCGTTTTGTTGTATGATTACTCATAATTTACCCGATTAATAATTTTCTTTACAAATTGAAACTCGTTTCAATCTCAAAGAAATTTTAGTCATAGCAAGAACCTAACTCCACAAGCTACATATTTCCACATCCATGAAAGGAAGATTCGATTTGTGTCTTCCCAAGATGAAGACTCAAATAGTGGGTGAAAAGTTAGGTTTTGCTTTCTTAAAATAATGTTAAAACATCAAAGAACACAGATGGAAACATCATAGGGAATTAATTAATAATATACTTTTGGTCTACATTATATTACATATGAACAAAGAATGAGTCAATCTATGAATCATAGTCCTAATTAATAATGCTAAATTTTGAAAAAAATGATATCATTAGTCAAGATTTCTCATTCATTTGCACCGACTCAATTATTTTTTAGTAGGATTCAGAGATGTTAATACCCTCGGTTATTAGACGTAAAAGTTTTTCGCTTTCCGGTAAAAAACATTTTTCCAGATTGAAATTATTATTCGGCAACAGTTTTTCAAAGTAGTTTTTAGTGTTTCGACCAGTAAAAAGGCTAAATGCTATCAAACATTTAACTTTTAGCATTTCCTGAAAAGCTACTCGAACAGCTAACAGCTAAACGCTACTAAAACGACTAACAACTACTGAAATAACTAATTTTGCAGAACAAACCCTTAATCTTGTAATCTTATTAATTAATTCTTATTTCCTAAGAGAATGGAACCATTCTTGAATAATAAATAATAAGTGCATAGACCTTCATCACATGATTCTGCCCTGCCCTAGATAACATTGAAATCTCTTTTTAGCTTCTACTGTGTTTTTCATGGCTGCACATCTTAATCGTGTACATTAATGACTAAGAATGGTCAAGACATTTCTGTTATAAAATTTCTTATATACTTATAAAAAAAGCTTGAAAAATAGATATATTCATGGAAATTTCAGTGACTGTACTGCAAAACCCATGTGAGCAAGATAGACAATTCTACGAAATTTTAGCCATTGATGCATGTGAATTTAATTATAATGCATTTAAAAAGAACAAATTTGGATATAGAAGAAAGGTTATTTTCAATTTCTAGGTCTAATATTACAAGTTACATGCACTTCATTTTACCTTGGGATTGACAGGTACATATATAAATAGACCGATTCATGAAAAGAGAACGTACCTACAAATTGAAGGCACCTTTGCTGAAGGTTAAAGGTGTACATTAGGTTTAAGTTTAAGAGTTAGCTTCCTTAATAAGAGGATGTATTTTTTTTTTTTTTCACTCTCATTTTGATTGTATCAAAATAATTTATAAAATATGTTAATATAATTATTCATATAAATGTTTTAAAAATTAAAATTATCTAAAAAATAAATCAATCTCAATATCAATGTAAAATTAAAAGAAAAAAAAAAGGATTTTCTAAAAAATTAAGAATAGCTATAACTTAATAATTTAATTAAATTTCTAAAAAAGGATTTTCCTCATAACATGGGTTACCAATGCTAATTAGTTCTTATCTCATCAAGAATTAATCGTAAAAATTGAATTGTTTTGTACATTATAATTATAACCTTGAGAGGAAAAATATGGAAGAAAAATAAAAAGGAAGAGAAATAAAAAAAATGAGAATAATTAAATATATTTAGTTAGTATATAAATTAAATTTATTTAATTCTGATCCGTTCTAATTGATAATATAATATTTAGTTTCTTTTTGGAGTGCTTTATGACCACTTAAGTGATAATGCTGACACTGAGAATCATGGAAATGCAAATAAATCTAATTAAAAAATAAATAAACCAAGTTGATAATTTTAATTTTTTTTTAATTTTTAATTTAAAATTTTTAATCTAAAAGCTTCAAAGGAAAGTACAACACCAGCAGTTTAAACAATACCAGATAAAGCCAATCACATTATTCTTTCTTTTTCATAATTGGGTGTCTCCATTACTAAACATCTGCTCTAATAAATTGGATAATTTTTAGTTTTAATTAATTATTCCTATAAATATCTCTAAGATAAATGTTTTTTTTTAAGAATTCATTTCCTAAATTTTGCAGATAATAATAATAATTAATGTCACGCACCAATTTCTTTTTTCTAGTTTTACAAAGATTATTTTTTTCCTTTTTATACATTGAGATTGTGTTTATCTCTTTTATTTTTCCGTGCATTCAAAATTCCTAAAAAGAAAAATAATCGAGTTTATATTACAAAATAAATATTCGACTAGTAGATTATTATCCAATGTGATTCTACTTATGCACACATAAGCAACATATATATAATTTGATACTATATACATAGTTTAAATTCTAACATCTCCCCCTTTAAATATTTAGAATGTAAGAGAAAAAAAAAAAAAAACAAAGAGCAACCTATAGGCATTGTTCATTAATATGCATGTGAAAATTTTAGAGAAAGAACAGAAAATGCAAAGATACAGGGAAATGAATAAAACAAATTTAGAAACCAAAAGACCTAAATAAGGTAAAATGCAATGAAAAGAAGTGTTCTTTAGTGAGTACCTGTTCTTTGGGAGTCCTCTTTGCAATAGACTTCGAAGCTCTTTCCTTCACCAACTTTGGCTCCTTGGAGATATATTGCAGGTCAGACCCATCAGTTTCCTTTTAAAGACGCATTTCCCTCTCTGTCAATTTCTTTAATTTATTAAAATAATAATAATAATAATAATAAGAGAGGGCACAGAAATAAAAAAATAAAAAAATAAAAAAAATAAAAAAAAAAGTTGTAGCTATAGTAAGTTGTGTCTTGTTTAATAATCATTTGTATTTTCAAAAATACCCATATAAACACTTCAATTTCCTTATATTTGACTGATCTGGGATTCAATTACTTAAATTAGCACTTCAAAATATAAATTCTCTCAATATATATATATGCTAAACTTACAAAATCATTAGGTTATGATTCTTTAATTAATAAATTTAGAAGTATTAATTTTTAATTTAACTCTTGAAATTAAAAAATTGTTGAAAATATTAATAATTTGAAATATATATATGGTTGCATGAGAGCACAAGGGCTTGGATGTCACAATATCGTTATTCAGGAAAAAGGTGGAATTCCACTAGCCATTGAAGCCAAGTACAAACTACTTCAATATTACATATATATGATACCAATTGTCTAACTTTTTGCTACAAAAATAAGTGCTTTTAGGAGGTAACTTGCATTTCTTTTAGCAATGGTGGGCTACGTTGGATCTCCAACACTAATACCGCGCGCATGCTTCGCAAATGGAAATATTACACCACCTAATCTCTCTTTTTTTTTTTTTTTTTTTTTTTTTTTTTTTTTTTTTTTTTTTTTTTTTTTTTTTTTTTCGATACAACGAGTCTTTCTAGAAAAATTACTTATTTTGGTAGCTGTTAGCTTTTTTAATAGTGTTTAACTATTTTAGTTGCATTTAGCTATTTTAGTAGCTTTTCACGAAACGCTACAAGCTAAACGTTACATGGATTAATTTTTTATAAAACATTACTTACTTTTAAATGCTAATTCAAACGTTATGTTATTAAACATGATAAAAAATAGCGTTTAATCAAAATGTTTAAAGCTACTTAAAAAATTATTGCCGTATACAGCCAACGCCCGAACCAGCTCTCTCTTAATAAGAGTTGGTGAGCTAATTAACGAGAAGAGCGAGAAATATATGATTAGCAACTTTTTGAGGAAAAATGGATACCACAGTATTTAGATTAACAACTTTTTGAGGAAAAAAAGAAAAGAAAAGAAAGAAAGACAAGTCGTTTCAGCTTTCATAGTTACAAAAGGTATACCGTATAACTATAGGTTTTTGATAAAAATGGAAGATTGATTAATCACATTTAATTTCCATTTCTTGCATGATTAGTTTAATTTATTATATTTCTTAGTGCTATAGCTCCTTTTCATAAATTTCCACAATGAAATCCAAAGTTTAAGCGGTAAAAATTAAATATTACGATATTTTTAGATATTTTCCAACATAAATATTTATATTTTTGATAATAAAAGAAATTTATGCGAGTTAAATCACCCAATTATATGATTATTGTATATACATATGTGTTGGTGAAGGTGAAGTGTAAGCTTCTTAATTAATATCTTTCCACACAATATTGGATATCTAACCTAATCATAAGTGATTCTCCGAACAAGTAATTTTTATTTTTTCCAAAAGAAAAATAAAGAAAATTATTACATGTTATATTTAAAAAAAAAAAAAGGAAAATAAAAGGTTTGTAGATGGTGGAGACATCACCATCTTAAGAAACTCATCAAAGGGATATACCGTACAAGAAATAGAAAATGAAGATGAAACCCACTTTCGTGTGGAAGCCATAGATTCCACCATGTCAAGCTCAATTAAACTAAGAGAATGGAATCCACTTTCGTGTGGAAGCCACAATATTGCATGCCATGTCATGTTCAAAACACTAATATTTTTTATGCCATTAATTAATTAATATATATTCTTTTCTTTTCTTACATGTTCTATGTTAAAAAATTATTATATTCCAAGATTTCTTATCTAACTCAAAACAAATTTGGATCCAATGATTGCATTTTGTTTTATTTCATGACTATATTCTTAGGCAATGAAGAAATTAAAAAGACTTTTATTAATATATATTATCAACAATTTGTAATCACGATAAGTTTTCCATTTTCATAAATCCACTACTTATGATTAAGGTAATAAGATAGAGTCCACTTTCGTATGGAGGACATAGCAAAATGTTGTTTTGATAATAGCGGCGGAACCAGAAATTAAAGTTAAGAGTAATAAAATTTTTAAAAGTTTTTTTTTTAAGAAATTTTCAAGAGTTAAAAGGGAGTAAAATTAAAAAAAAAAAATCTATAATTAATGCGAATTCCTTCTAATACCGTGACACATGGGTGTCTATGCTTCAACTATCATATATTTATATATAGATAGGTACGTTATTTTATTTTGACATATTAAAAATATTTTCTCTTTTTAGAAAAGATATCAAAATTTAAAAATGTTGAACTATATGCTACACTATCATAAAGCAAACGTTGAATTCCTTGATAATAAGCCAAATGGCATATAATCAACTTTAACAAACTTGAATCAAATCATTAATTTTTAGAAGTTGAATTCAAATTTCAACTATGTGGTCTTCCCACTTAAAAAGATAAGGTTTAGTTGAAAGTCATCCCCAGTAATAGAAAGTGTTGGCTCAAGGGTCAATTTCTAAGTCTCGGATTTTGATGATTAATTCAAAACAAATAAATTTAAAATTATGCTATTTGTGCTAATTTTAATTTATGCTATTTGTGCTAAATTTTAGTTTTATGCATGTTAACATTCCCTTCCCGGTCCATCCGTTATAAAACCCCCACCACGAAATAAACCGAGTCGAGACGTTTACAACTGCGTTGACTGTATGGCCTGACATGCTGAAAATATCATAATGTATATTGAATATAATAGCATTGCCTGATATTGTATACAAAAATAATGCTAATTTATATTTACAAAACATGGATACTAGTGTCAAAATGAAATGCGGGCCAACTTGAGGTGCCGCTGTAACATTTGCCAATTGAAAGGATAGACAAAAGATACATATTAAATGATTAGCATACCTTGAAACTGAGGTCTTCTAACAGATGAACATGCAGCAGTTGTTAAGCGACTCTCTATGCGTCCATCTCAAAACCTGCCGAGCTTAAACATGGACTTTAACTCGCTGAGCCCAAATTAAAGCTCAGTGGATATCTCAACAGATTAGAAGAAACAATTAAGCACATTATATGTATAGAAAGAACCCATGCAAACACATATAAGCGACCACGTTCATGAAACTTTCAATTGATTACCTTGCATTAATCTTTTTGTACGTCTAAATACTGTATAATTCATGAAATAGTTTAATGTCAAGAATCGATATGGCTCCATAAGGTTATAGGGTTTGGGAAAAAAAACCGGAAGACAGTGTGATAAGAAAATGTATGAAAACTGGAATGAATACTGTTATGCTGGATCTATGGCCCATATATAAATCATATCCAACTCAACGGCCTGTAGCCGGAGTATCAAACTGTATCTGAGGTGAATCTTGCTATCCTATTGGTCGCGACATAGCCTTTATCTACATAGTGTTTCTACCTAACTCAATGGAGCATAATATGGTATGTCGAATATATAACACAACATCATATTAATAGTTCCATACTTCCTTCATAATTCATAATGTATATTTGATTTCACATCATTTGCATGCTTGCATGTTGTTTTGATACATGTTCAAATGTTATATTTGATGTTAAAATGATTTGAGGCATATAAGTGAAACAAAGAAATACAATTGCATTGAAAAAGAAAAAATAAGAGACAGTGTGTTATCAGGCACAAGTCGCGAGCGCGTACTTGAAAGTCGCGAGCGCGTAGTGTGCCAAATGAGAGACAGTAAGTTCTCAGGTAAAAGTCGCGAGCGCGTACATGGAGGTCGTGGTCGCGTAATGTACAAGTTGAGAGTCAGTGAGTTCCCAGGCCAGTTTCGCGAGCGCGCAATGAAGGTCGTGAGCGCTTACAGGACAAAGGAACAAGTCGCGAGCGCGTAGATGAAAGTCGTGATCGCGTAATATGCAAAATGCAAGTCAGTGAGTTTGAAGTGAAAGTCGCGCGCGCGCAGTGCAAAGTCGCGAGCGCGCGACGTGCTTCCAGCCTGCGCAGTGCAAGGTCGCGACGCGTTCAGCTCCTGAGCGCTCTGAGAGCAACGCGAACTTCGTTCATGCAATTCCGCGCGCGCTTCCAGCCATGATACTGTCTGTACTCTTTTGGTCATATCTCTCAAAATATTACAACTCCAATTTTGGATGATTCAAAAACCATTGTAAGAACACAATAGAGGAACAAATAACTCTTCTATGACACTTCTAATTTTTCATCATTAAATGGGTCAAAAATCAAGATGAAGTTATACGCGTTAAATCCAGCAAACGTGTTTCACATAAACTCAATGATTCACTTCATTTATTCATTTACCTCCGCCTGTTTCTCCACCTGTTTCTTCACCGCTTACCAGTCCTCCCACTCAACATGAAGCAAATATTTGTCTCACTAAGCAACAATCACACAAATTCTCATGCCAAAGAGAAAAATGGAAAACAATTAACAAGAGATAATTCAAACCTTTACTTCCAAAGCTTGACTCCTCTTTAGCTTCTTTTCTCTACACTCTTAGAACTCCCTTTCACCCTATAAAATAAGAATTCTTATGAATTCTAAAACATAGCACCAATGTTTTCCAATTATTTGAACTTCAGAAGGTTTACTTACTTGGATAGAAGAAAAATTGAAGTTAAGCTTAACTACCATTAAAATTGAAAGGAAGGAAGAAAATGAAGAAGATGAAGATAAACATGAAAATGGAAAGTGAACATGCAGTATTACGGGTTTACGGCCATCAAAAATCAAGGGATTTTATCGTAAAAACTTCCTAAATTGGTACCTCAAATTGTAAACAGGCTACCCAAACTTAATACCCCAAGCTCAATCTTTTTAATCGCAAATCCAATCCTCACCCATGCTGCTTTAATCTTTCTCTTCAATCAAAAGTAAACTCCACTAGATAACCCTTTCTACCCCAACCGGGTTTGGTTCAACTCGACTCAACTCGACTACTCAAACTCC